AGCCCACAGCACACATACACTGAGATTTTACTGGTGTTTTTTTTGGCTTTAAATAATATTGACTTCCTGGCACATGACTGCACATGGCCAACAATTATATTTGGTACATACTGTAATGTGGGCATATCTACAACCCCAGACCCCGCCGCCTTTATTATTATTTTCCATAATCCTATTTCATTCTGACTGGTCAGCAGGGTCGTTGTTAATTGTTAATTCGAGCGTAAGGAGAGGAAAAGCGTCTCTCGTCACTTTAGAGGGAGTGCTGAAGTATGAGCCCACCTGCTATGTTAGGAGGTTCCTCTAGGGGCGCTACTGATTACACGTATCTACCAAACCTCACAACGAAAATGTTCACTGTAGTCGGTGCATCGATAATGAATGAAGCGATGACTTATTGAGGGTTATGGCGCCGAGTGTTGGGTCACGTTGATGGAACGGAACTCTCACTTAAGTAAGACTGACTTGTCGAAATAAGTCAGACTTTCCCTTAAGCCTGCTTCATGGAATACCCCCAAGACGTCAAAAGAGTTGTTGTCGTTATCTGAGATAACTCCGAAATTCTCCCACACATCGGACTTGATTTTAGTGGAGGTATTGGCTACAACTTTAAACTCCCCACTTGCTAGTTTTCTTTTCAACTCCTCAGCATCCATTTCGAACAGCTGCAGGAGATCGCGCGCGCTTTTGAAAATGAAAGTGGGAGAGATTTCTGGGAATGCGCGTGCAGGTATATACTGATATGGATTTTACGTTTTTTCACCTTAAATGCAATGATTTTTTTTGTGTGTCATTAAAATATAGCCCTAGGGTTTTTTTTTTTTGGCACATGATGTTTTGAAAACCGCAATTTAGATCCGCGTTCTCCTGCATCCGATCCGACACAGTATATTTTTCTCCCATTTCATAAAAATTTGCGGGTACTCGAACCCGTGCAGGACTCTGCCTGGCAGGACCTTTATGGGAGAGATGGTCATTCTAATATAGATGGAGTTATGACACTAGTCTAATTGTATTAGTTTTGTAGCTTTTGGTTACAAAACCAACCTGTGTTTTTAATATAAGATAAAACCAGGGAAGTTACTTGAAATGTTTTCATATTTTTTCTATAATTGCAGATTTGCACAATAAATATTCTACGTTCACGTCTACTTTGAAATGTATTAACAGTTTATTATACAACTTCCTGCTGCAACGCCTTTGCTATGGATATACGTATGTTACACTTTCAAAAACAGTTATATTGAAATTTACAGATCAAAATATAGTCCTACCGCAATATATACTCTCTACCGTCTATGGTTCAAATTATACCGCAATATGAATTTTATGCCATATCGCACAGCCATAGTATACCGTATTAATGAGAAGCATGTTTTGAGGCCAAAAAGTTGTAATGTGTATAAACCCGGAGTATCCTTCTGTTTTGTAAACGTGTCGGACTTTAAACTGCAAAAAGTACCGCCGTTCTTAACCCCAGGATTGCCTGTATTCTGAGTTTACTACTAAAATAGCAAAGACAACGTTTCTGCACACTTCAGGTGTGATGGATCCAGCTGCAAGATCAGTCAGGAAATTAAATGGATAATAGATGTGTGGTGTTGGTACTGTCTCTTAAAAAGCGGGCTGCCATTTCTCTCTCCCTCTGCTTTTCTAATACAGGCTCCTTCTGTCGTATTTTTTATTTTATTTTTATTACTCATTAGCTTTTTTTTCCTGGAATATACTGTCATTGGCCTGTTAATAGAATGAGTAACAAAACAAGCTTATGTTAGATTAAAGTATTTACATCAGCTGAATTTTAACAAGATTCTGTTTTGAAGTAAGAGTTCACAAACACTGCGTGTGTTTGGGCGTGTGTCACCACACAAATGACGAACAATTTTGTGAACAATACAAAACAACAGACATTGTATTTATTAGTTCACACCCTTATTCCAGGACAAAAATGAATCTCATAGTGATCATCAATTTGGATGTAAAACACGACTGGGTCGAGGAATTGTGTATGGCAAGGACGTTTTTATATTAGCACACAAACAGCATGTTTTCCTAGTAATAAGTGGGACGATTACACCCAAAGGCATAGAGAGAATTTAACCTTGTTTGCTCATTTATGTCATCCCATCTGCCCAAGAGAGCATGGGCACTGTGGTGTTGTTACTGCTTAAACACCCAATGACTGTAATCATTTTTATTATTATTTAGAATGGACAGCCTTAATTAATAAGGGGAGCAAGAGGTTAGAAGGTGGATTGGTGACTTTATGTAATATGTGCCAAGTGCACTGAACTGTGCCCGATCACTGGCATCATTTGACACAAATTCTAAACTTTATTCGGCATTCTGTGAGCGAAGGATGGTACTGCAGCGATTGGGGGGGCGGATGGGTGGCATGGGAAGCAGCATCGACCCCCCCCCCCCCCCCCCGATTCTCATCTGGACACGTTCTTGTATCCAGTCTGCTCCCACATCAAAGACGTGGCCAAGCTGTCGCGCTTGCTGTTTACTACCTAACTAATGCAAGACGCCAGCAGACTGGAACTCAATTAGCCAGTGAAGGTTAACTAGGCTCCCCCATGACTCAGGTGGGGATAAAGCTGCTGAGATGGTACAGGCCATGGTTGAAAGCCAGGCTGATACGCAGACGCTGTGCTGGAGATCCCACACATCGACTCCTAGTTGCCAGCCAAGGTGGCTGTTAGGGCTGAGCTTTGCTGAGCCAGTGTTGCTCCACTAAAGCAATAACATCCCCTCGACTTTGATTAATTACCTTCACTGGCACTTAGGTTTTGTATGAGTAAGCTATGTTCCCTGTGGGACCAGGGGAAGTTTCTTTCTAAGGGAGTGCTTCTTCCCTAATTCACAGTAACCCTCCTGTTATTCACCGGACAGGAATACTCATTTACCTATAAAACCTAAAAGACCAATTTGCAGTGCACATTGAGTATTTTTAGTTTTAGGGCTCTACATTCCTATTTTCAAAAAATAGCTGTACAGAATGTTGTCAGGTATTGCAGTTTTTAAAATGCATTTTTATTACTTGCATTAGCTGTAAATCCAAGCAGAAAGAGGTTTGTTCTCTCTGTACAGAGTGTGTCTGCAAGTCTTTTCAGTGGCCATAGTATATCCATGTCCCGATCATTAAAATGATAAAATATAGAACTTGCAAACTAAACAATATGAAATCCCCATTTACATAATTTTTTTGTTAGCAGAATGGAAGAATGTGAGGGAGTGATTATTCTGTAGTGTGGCTATTTATTTCATTGTTTGCTCACAGATCGATATGATATACTTAGTCAATTGTAGATGAACATGGAATGTTCCAATTATTCAATGCAATGAGGCGGAAACTTAAAATCATTCATTGTGAAGAAACCCTAAAACCACTCATAATCCATAATTACAAATAATTTGTTCTGCCTTAAGAGGCATGCTGACTTCCACTGTTCCACCCAGTGATCCAGGCACTGTAAAACCTTCTCAAAAGAAAGTTAAGTAATTCATTGTTAAGTCTAAGGTCTCAGGACCAGCAGTGTTTCCATTTAAACAGCAACCTTGTATTTATTTTTAATTATTTCCCCTTTCCCAGTTTTGCCACACCAATGCATTTAATGCAATATATACAACAAATTATGCCCCTTTGCTGCTGTATGCAAAAACACTCTCCTGGGATCAAGTAAGCATATCTGTCTGTCTCTCCATCCATAGATCCATCTATCTGTCCATTCAACAGCAGGACAATATGGAATTGGCCCTATTGACTATTCGGGCTGACCCACTGGGCTACTGGGTTTGGGGGTGGGGGTGTTGTGCTGACCTTATTTGGGTAGGGCCATGTATGAATGTGTAAGTTTGCTGAATATGTCAAAGGATCACCCAAATATGGAAAAATATACACCATGATAACATTTAAAGTGGCTTACAAAGAGCAGTGGAGCATCAAGGTTAGACTGTTACATATAAAAACAAGTTTACATTTGTTAAAAATGACTCCTGGGGGAAAGGGGTTCATCTGTTGCTGGAGGCTATTGTTTACCTGCTAAATGACTCATTTCCCGGTTGCAGCAGGAGTGGCAAACCAGAGTGAGGGAAATGACTTTGTTCAGCCCAATTAAACAACCCCGCAGGGTGGACAGCCATGCAGGGACATTTTTTTTGCCGTGATGGACATGACAGAATTCTTTTTGCCCTGCTGTTCCGTGTGCTGCTTGGTGTGTTGCGCCAGATTCAGCCAGGAGTCTGTATGGACCACTACGGGACCAGTGAAGACCCACTAGACGGTCATCCCTGAACCAGAACACAAACAAAATGGAATCTTGCCATTGAGCAAAAAAACAAAGTAGTGATGACTACTAGCTTTTTATCAAAAATATTCTTTCAATATGTAACACATCCTGATGTTTGTATTATGTACATAAATATGCAGCTGTTTGTATGTAGAACTCATTGTGGCCAGTTCAGCACAACACTGGGTCCTTGGCAGATGAAGTCTGATTCTGATTTTGATTCAAATTGTATTTCTATACCTGGTATTCCTTTATTGATATGTTTGACAAATATTTACTTTTGTTTAGATGTTTTAAATATGCAGTTGTGTACATGCCCAAAATTGTGTTGAGAAAGTGCATAATAATCTATCAGCCTCCAGGTCTGCTCAGACCCAAGTCATCCTGGTAACCACAGATAAACAAGCTTCCACACAAACAAACCGGGTCCCAGGAGACTGCAGTGCGGACTGAACGTTTTCACTGAAAGATAAACGGATGAAGAAAATGAAGGGCCTCCTATTCCACAGTTAAACAAAGGGAGACAGAAAGTGTAAAATCAATAGGGCTCTGATGCCACAGGGAGATCACACTGTTGGCATCTGCGTGTGGGCGGGGATTTTGCCGACAGGCCGTAGCTGATTGGTCGGGAGCCGTACACAGAGCAAGAAAAACAACCGAAAGGTCCCTACTGCTCACCTGCGACACCTGCTCCGGGGAAGTATCATCCTTTCCTCCTACTCATGATCAACACTGAGAACCGGACGCCTGTCTGGGGGGGAAGGGAGGCAGGAACCAAGACAGCATGGAAGAGAGAGAGAAAGATTCAGGTCAGACACTACCCCAGGCTCAGAGAATACTTTGGGTCCAAAGTTTTTGTTGTTAAAAACAAGGTTTATGGGTTGAATCTACTTTTGTATGTATCAAGCTGGATCTGTTTTTTAGCTTTACTTCAGTCAAGTGTTGCTTTGATATGCATCTCTATACACAGTGTCTTGCCTGCTAATAAAATAATTAATGCAAGGTAATTCTATGGACAATATACGGCTGAGATGAACCAGCTCCTTCATTTAAAAAGGAAAAAGTAATATCTCGCTGAACTTATTCTCCTTTCACAGCATGGCATTCATTTTCTTTAGGCAGAAACTTGCAGTGTCTGCTCCACTGAGGGAACTCTGGCTAATTTCCAGTAGGGCTGTTGACCATAAACAGAGAAGCAGAGTCTAACAAAGGGTGCTGATGCTCATTCTTGCAAAACTACGCTATTATGCAAGATTTATGTGTCCTAGAAGAAGACCTCAGTACGGTACATCGGTTCAGTGCCTTGGTCACTGATTCATGTTAAGGAGCAGGCCATGGAGTCAGTAATGGGAGGATGCCCTCTGAAGTTCCAAATAATAAGCTTGTGTTTTGCTTTCTTTGTTTATAGAGTTTTGTAGGCGTGGCATCTTAACTACAATTGATTCATTTGTCCGTTCACCACAAGCTACACCCAGGCATGGATCACTTTTAACCAATTACTTGGAGTTCCAGCAAAATAATCCAGGTGTGTGATCTGGATTCATTCCCAGGGCATTATTAACCACACTATGATCCAGGCAGTTATAGAAGATGGATGGGTATGTTGTCAAACAGCACTGACCCAGAGCTGTATAACAGCAAACATTTTGAGCATTATTTGACTCAGAAGCAGGGTTTAATGTTCCCAAGGTGTATTGGTCAGCTGCCCTGATGACACGTATCAGGGACTCATTGCTTGCACTGATCCTCCGTTCAGCACTAGCCAACCCATGCAATACCTTAACAGCAGGGCTGTGCACCATTCAGACTTGAATTGAGAATGTACCTGAAATTCTTATTTAATTCATGAATTTGAGTTGAATTTCAATTGCAGTTAGAAATATATATAATATGCAGAATTCAGAATTTGAATTTGAATTTAAGAAAGTAGAATTAAAATGAAATTAAATGCACATAAATTCATATATATAGTATAGGTGCAGCTGTAACAATACAGCTTAATATTTCAATATGAAGTGCACATAGACATGTTAACATTCATACCATGTATTGTATCATTTTTACAAAAAAAAATTTGTTTTTCAGAATGAAGGAATGCAACAATTGCAGTGTCACCTATAGGACAAATAATTTAACTATGATGGAAGAGCATTTCATGCAGTCAGTCATACAAGAAACCCAGTGACTACTCTATCCATCTGACAATCCATGGATACTCACAAGAAAAGCTACTGCAGACTCCTCACAAACGGTAACACATACAAAAAATGCAAAGACAACATATCAGCCCATGGAAAAGAACTTAGAGGGTGAACAACCTTTCTTTCTGACATTCCAATTGAAATTACAATTCAGCATCCTGTGTGGTGTGGCCAATTCAATTCAAATTCCTATTCATTAATGTATAAATCCTGAATTTTGCCAATTTGCAAATTTGGGGCCTGCATGTTGTAATAAAAGTCTGTGTGATTCTTGCACCAATTCAAAGTATTTGAAAAAGGCTTTTCTGAAAATCTTTTATTGGCCAGGCCAATTTGTTCTCTTGGAGAATACAGATCCTTCTGCATGAAAGGTTTCTGTTGAGACACGCTTGACCTTGGAAATGTTGACCCTGCCTGGGGCTTTGTTGTCTGCTTTTGGTTAAATGTTAAACATATGCAGTAAAAAAGAAACAAAACAAAAGGCCATCTTGTGAAGACTTGTGGTAGGTGGGTGTCTGCTGGAAGAGAGTAAGCGAAAGGCTAAAGGAAACACCTCCAATTTAAAAAGTCACTAGCGTGAGTTAGCGTGAATACAGAGAGATGCTGCATTATTGTCTGTGATGCTAAATGATCCGGAAGCTTGCAGAATCTCGTTGAAGATGGTAACAGACTGTCCATATTCAGTCATGCTGGTTTCCCTTCTGTGGATAAGTCTTATTACCAAAGAGAGTAACCCTTTACTCGTGGGGCACAAGTACTTCGTAGTAACTCAGTTACTACTCAAGTACAAATCATGAACGAATGTAGTAGCTACTTCATATAAAAGATGCATCATGATTCATTAATGATGAATAAACATGAGATCAGTATTTCATTTGTTATTCATGACGTGTTTCTTCAGTAGTTCCTTAGTAGTTCCTTCAGCAGTTCAGAAAGGTTTATCAAATTCACAAATTTGGTAACTGTAGTTACTGCTCAAGATAAAAGATGCATCATGATCCATCAATGATGAATGAATATGAGTTCAGTTTGTAACTGAGACTTAAATATTGGTTAATTAATACATATGTAATTGCATAATACTACATTTTGTGTGCCCCCTCAAGTAAAATGTTACCCCAAAGAGTTGAGAATCAAGCCAATATGGTCTGTTTCACAGTTTATGTCATCCCAGGGCAGATATACCAAGATATCTTAACACTACATGAGATGTTTAATCACCCCAAAATACAGGACAGGACCATTTGGAGAGAAACCATTGCCTTTGATGGAAACAGTATTGCGGTTCTTTGCTATTGAATCACCACTATGGGCCTGGTCAAACCTGAAGCTAATGAAGCTATGCATGAAAAATGCATGCGTCTATTAATACTTGATTATGTATTAGGTTATTATTAATCAAGTGTATATAATAAGGGTGCAGGGTTTCAGGAAAACAAAAACACATATTGAGGAAATGCACGTCTTCACAGTGTTCTCAGAAAATGAGGAAGCAGAAAAAAAGGAAAATAATCTCCAGTGTGGATTTTTACTATTTTCCTCGACTGCACACAAATTTTTGGTCTTTTTCAGTTCAAGTGAAATGGCACCTGATAGAAACCTCTGTCACGAGTACGGCAGCAAGGAGTCCCGTGCTCTTTGAGATGGACTGCGAATGCTGGTCTGGCTGATCAAGGGGCAATCAATAGATAAACTGGGGGATACCTATTGCTGCAACCTTCTGGCCGGAGACACCTTTCCAATCCCAGATCAATACCGTTCACGTCCAAGGGGAGAAGGCCAACTGAACAGAAAAGGAAACATTTCTGCAGGAGTCTGTCTTCTGCTAAATTATTAAAGAGCTGCATACCATAACCATACCCAAAATGTCAAGTGTGTTTAAATCCCGTTGCGGTTTCCTAACTTTGTGAAGAAATATTATTTTTCCTCTTTTTCAAGTGGTTGAGTTTATACACCAGACTGGGTCTCTCTGTGCTCCATCAACTATCCACCTGGGCCATCTGATACCCTTCTTACTGTGTTCTGCTTAGTCTGGAAAATCTACGCACCAGTACAACTTACTGGACCAACATAATTGAATATGTGTGCCTACTGATTGTGTGTTCACATTGAATTTTTGAACTGAATAATTGAAAATGACACCTTTTCTCATATCCCTTGCAGTAGTAAAAGCTCAATATAGAAAGTTTGGGAGATTTTGGCCACTGCAGTGCATGGTCAAAAAAGTTCTGCAGATGTTTATCTTCAGCCAAGCCTAACATAAGTGATGTAAAATCAGCCACCAACAACCAAACTCTCCAATGTGACTATTTGCTACATAGGTTATTAAGCAAATACTTTATGAGTCATACCAAGTGTGGTAAAGTAGCCCTTTAGTTTCTCTGCCCGCCCCCGTCTATAGAACAAGCTTCTTGAAGACCGGAAGGTCTGCCAAAAATTGTCAGCTGATTTAAATTAGGCCGTAAGATGTTACTGTTTGCTGCAGTTTTTCAATATATGAAATCAGTGGCAGTTTATTCATGCACTGCCACTGCAATGTAACTTATTTTTAGTTAACTGTTTATTTGTTTAGGCTTTTGGGTTTTTGTTTTTATTGTCTTTTGAATGCGATTTTGATATCTTCTGTTTTAATGTATCCCTGTGCCTCTGCGAAGCCTTGAGTCGGAATTATGCTGTATAAATAAATTTGCCTTGCCTTACTCGCATTATAGACCTCAAGAGGTTACCTTCACTCCATGACCTCAGCCACCTCAAGTGTAAGAAGGCATTGATCTCAACCACTTCCACAAGTATCATGAGTCACTCCAGAGTGACATGATGAAAAAACACAAAATGACACGCATTCTGAAACTTGCCAGGATGCAGCCCTACCCCGCAATGGCGCCTGACACTCTTACAGCACACATGTCCTGTTCAGTTCCAGCAATGACTCACGCATTGCTCATTACTCCCCAGTGAAGATGGGAGAAGGTCTTTAAATAACACGAAGCATGAAGGAAGGACATAAACATACAGCAGAAATCTCAGGAGGGCCCCCAGTATAATACGCTCAAGCGTGGCACTGTTTCTGTTTCTGTTTCTGTTTCAGTCAAACGTTCAGCTGTAAGTTGCTCGAAAAATGCATGTTGTTATATATCATCAACTGAATGAGCTTTGTATTTGCTCTGGGCACTGAAATTTCTTGAAATTGAATGAAAATGGGGTAACATAAATGTGCATTCTTGCAGCAGTAAGGTGACCAATTAATCCATGGCAGAGAGGACACTTTGAGCTACTTCGAGTACAAACTACTTTAAAACTGAAAGGTTCCTGTTAGGTCAGGTTAGGTTGGGAAGCACACACTGGTACGGAGCGTTGCCACACCTACCACACGAAACACCTCAGGAATCCAGTTGGCGACCCCCCAGGCTGACACACGGTCCCGTCCCAATCTCCAGAAATGGCCATCTATCTGCCACAGTATGGCATTACGTTGGCATCCATTGGGCTGGTCCAGCTGCTCTGGTTCTCAGGCTCCTGTGAGCCGGATCACCCTTGAGGAATCGCCACACATGACCGTAGTGCCGGAACTGACGCTCCTCTGCAATGCAGGAACTTCCACAGAAATTCCAGACTCTCCTGAGCAACTGCTCATTCAACACAGAGTCAGACCAGTGGTACCCAAGGATTCTCCAAAGAGACAGTGATTGGCTAAATAGTTCAGTTCTTCCCGTGCTTTGACTGGGTGTTTCCTTGACTGGAAGACTCATCTAGCTGTTTCACATTAATATTAGTGAGACCTGCATGATTATAGGAGACTGACCAACCAGCCCTCCTTTTAACTGAAATAGTTGACCAATTCTGTCCTAGCTCAAAGGGTCTTCCCTGAGATGGATTATCTGGTCACTCTATAAGGAGGGTTTACTAAACATCTACAGTGATCTCCAAAAGAGGTGACATGATGGGGCTCCATGCAAGAAGACAACCAAGTAGCATGCTTTATGTAATTCCTAAGACACCAGTATGCTCGCCACTTTCTAAGATCTCCTGTTTTGTCACTTGTAAGCTCCACATGATGTAATTAGTGTTATTTTATCATGTACCATACAGCAGTACACCAAAGGAAGTGGTACTCTGCTTGCTACCTTTCTTAAAAAGATGCTTCGACACAATGTCAGTGTTTCTCGTTATTGGCAAACAGTTTAAGAGCGCCATCTAGGGGATGGAATTGCATATATCAGCACCTGACAAAAAAAAATATTTCTGAGCTGGAAGGGTTCATATGATTCCCCAGAACCCCAATGAATTTGTGTTATTCCCCCGGGCATACTTTCCTTGTTTCCTTTCTCCCAGCATGAAACAGTGTTGCCTAATTAGCTCAAGGATTTAAAATACACAGGGGTCTTTTATCTGTACCCGTTAGCACTGCAGTTAAGTGAAGTCTTACCCTTTGTTCCTCTTGTCTTAGTGGATGTTTCTTTTGTCTGTTTTTTCTTTTTGTTTTAATGACTTTTGGTGCGGACTTAATATAGCATGTCACGACAAAGCCCTCTAGTGTTCAAAGCTTGTCAGGCAGATTATAGGATAAGGCTACACGTTCTTTGCCTTTTTGTTGGGTGATACTTCCAAACCCCTTTTGTATAAAAGGATGGTACATCTGTAGGGCACTGTTGGAATCAGAGTCCATGTGATTGTCTATACTGATGAAAAACGGGTCATTCCACAGCTGCTCGTGCTCAGTCAGGTGACACACTTCCCAGAAGCTTTTGTCAACATTCACAACCTAGTGCCATGAGCGTCCCACCGTGTGCAGCCTCAAAATGTATCTCAAGTAGGTACATATAAATGGCAAACTGACCCACCCAAAAAAAAATATTTAAAGAACACTGTGCCAGATCATTTATATACGGTAAATTGGTCCATGATTCCTGAGTGAGTTTGCTGTGTCTCTCAGATGCAAAGTCGCATCCTCAGAAAGCAAAGCTGTCACAATCAGAAACCACAACTGTGTAGCACAGAGGTTTCTGCAGCAATCGGTCATCGCAAAAGCAGCAATGCACAGCAAGACCTAATAGGTGATATAACCAGCTGTGAATTAAATTATGTGCCTGGGGAACCACTTGGCATTACAATGGGAGTGACAGCAAGCATAGCCAACCTCCAGCAGATGTTTCCTGAGCTTGATAGCATTTGACCCATTATTTCTATATAAATCTGCCAGCATTAATAATTCCATTTAACATACATTAACTACTGCTTTTGCACATGGTCTGGGGATTTTCTTTTGTGATTATTTTTAATTTCACAAAGTATACTCAAGGTTAGCAATGAAGAAACGGCGGCAATACAAGAACTAATGAGGATTCATGCCAGCTTTTCCGGAAGCATCCTTTTGGAGATAACAAGTCATTAGGTGGCGGCCGGCCCCGCTCACCAGCCATTAGCTAAACGCTTTGTAAGCAAAGTTAAGTCAGCGGATCTCAGACCTAAAATTATAAACTGTTAGGAATATAATAGGAGACACGATGTTAGGGGAGCGAGTGGTGAAAAGCAGCGACTGAAGGAGCCCACCCCCCAAGCAGCGTATCAGTGGTGGAGGGGAATTAGATCCCCTGGCCGTCTTTATTTGTCTGCTGTTGATATGGAAGGTAATTATTCAGGTTTATCACAATGTGGATTTCGGTGTGGAGGAGCTAAAATTAGACTGAGCGGACAAAAAAAAATCCCTTCATGCAGCAAAAAGACCAGCAGACAGATTACTGCTGTTCTGAGGGGGGTTTTGTTTCAGTCCTATTCGACTCCAGCACAGAAACTTTTATCATAAGACACGCTTGATAACCCTACTGAAAAACACAGCATAGACCAGCACGATTTAGCTAGCTTAACTGGTGGACCAGTATAGCTTTGTTGGTCTACTTGCATATGAAGCTGGTCTGCCAGCAATATTTCATCAATGATACTGGTCCACCGGCACCACAACACAACATATGCTGGTATAGCTAGCATACACTATGCTGGTCATGCTGGTAACCAGCTCTGCTGATCTGTGCTAGTTTTTTTAAGCAGGGAATATTCTCAAATCATAAATAATGATTATAACTGTTAATAATTACCAGTTAATTATTCTTGGACTGACTGTTGAACTTAATTCTGAATGTCCAGCAGTTTGCTAATACTGTGGATAAACTATAATCCTGTGTATAAATGAAAGATCTATAATCTGATGTTGTGCATCTGGTTCCCATCTTTCTGCTCATTGTTTTAGCTGAGATTCAAAACGCGTAACTGGGAGTCCAACGCTGTTTAAACATGAAACATAATTATCATGATTAGGATGATTAATATGGGCACTAGAGAAAATACCGTATTTCTGCATGTGGAGGCTATAACAAATATCAATAAAACTCTCATTACTGAAACACTAACTGAAATTTTAAGTACGTTAATTTTTTTGTGGATTTGTGTGACTTTGGGTTTCATAATAAATACATGCTAATTAATGAATGTTCGTAAAGTCATGCTGGCTTGTACCAATAAATTAAATACAATGTGTTCGTTAATTTAGAAAATGTACCACTATATTCTTCTTAATACAATTAAGCACAGCAATGGGGTTCATTTAGCTAATTAATCTCCAATGGACATCACCATGATGTATTTTCATAAGTAAAAAATTAAGATGTAGAGTTCGAGGGAACAAAAACTGTGCATGAAGAAGTATAGAAACAGGTTACACTGTAAAGGGGATTGAGTTCAATGCGTCATCGAAACCTGACATTTACAGAGCCCTTCTATTCATTTTTGATGCAGATTCTGCTTCAGCGTTACTGCAGGGCATAGAGCGACAATATTGCGGACTTTTATTCCATGGGGTGCAATTTGAGTGAGCCAAACCAGTCATTTATCCAGATTAATGTTTGTTTAAGTAGTAAATACGTCTATAATAAATTATCGTTACACCTTAATATGACTTAAACAAGCCACATTTTAAAGTATACCTTTACAATATAATTTTGTTTTGTTTAATATGTTCCAAAAACATTTTCATGTGACCAGCAGGGGGTGGAATTGCACCCCCTATAAAATCGCCTATGTAGTAGCTATGCACAAAGTGCGCATCTTACGGAGGGGCGATTCCGTATTACATGTTCTATGTTAAATTGAGCTGTATGTACAGGTGTCATATATACATATATACATATTTAGTGGATTGTTGGATGTAAAATTGGATGTAAAATTTCGTCACACCTATTTATAGTATGACCAGGCATGACGAGACGTCGGACTGAGTTTTGCTCTCCTTCCAGTTGCTGTCTTTAACAGATTTATTATAGAAATGTTTCATAGCATATAACAGTTCTATTTTAGGAGAGCAAACGATTTAATCTAAATCGAGTTCATCATAAATAATAATTACCTTCCTAAGGAAATGCTTCCCGGAAATTCATCATTTTAAATTGCGATGAATTGCCCTCACTGTGCTGTATAAGCGGTGTTGATGCACAAATGGAAATAAGTTTATATAACAAGTATACCTCCAGTTTATTATGGGTAATTTTAAAGGCGGTATATTTAAATCATCCCGAAATGAGAGGGGTATTACTTGAAACATTACGGTAACTGTTTATCTGTTCGATCTGCGCATGCTCGTAATTCCTAAACTGTTGTTCGAGAGTCGTGTTTGTTTTGCGTGTGTGTTACGAGAAAAAACAGCGACGTGTGCATTTTTAGTTCGGCAAAGTTGGCTAGAAATTAATTTAGCCTGCATTACTTCTAATGCTGTTGGGCGCTGCTTACTTTTAATTTTGCATGCGCTTTCTGGCTTAGCTCAGCAGCTGTCAGTCGCACACCTGCAGGGTGGGCGCAGCTTCCTAGTCCGCTTTAAGGAGGCGTGTGCCGAGCCTCCAGTCCAGCGGGAAAGTGCACAACCTGGCCAGGCTCCTGCCGCGTCAGCTGAGCTGCTTTCGGCTTGTCCCTTCGCCACCGGCCCGCGCCCAAAAGGCTAATAGCATTTGCCGGAGAGCTATGGCCTCCAGAGCCCTGAAGAACCCTTACAAAGACTATGATGGGACGCCAGCCTGCGCGCAAGGCTTGTTCGACGATAAAGGCAGAGTAAGGTCCTTACAGCCGGCACCTGTGCGTCAGGGGCGGGGGAGGGGACTCGCAGCAGCTGGGGTTGACTGGGGCGGGGGTTGTCGCTAAATTGTTGCGAAATTTGAGTAATCAGCTGTTATAAAAGGGGGCTCTCTTGATAAATTTTGCAGTTGGCCCCCTGCTATGGGGGGCCGCTTGGCGGGTGTCCTGATGGTTATGCTTCAACCAGTCGGAACTTGGACCGATGTTATGCCGAATTTTGCTTGCCGCAGATCTCAGCAGCTATAAAATCGGACTTTAATGTTCTTTTTACACACTTCAAAATCAAATGGTGTTAGCAGCTTGTGTTTTAGGCCGTTTTGGCTTAACAGTGTTAATGTCAAATAAGCAACAGTCATCCTGGCTGAAAAAAGGGGACGCAAATCTCGGCAAATCGGGCTCTCCTAATAATGCACCCCATGTAATAATAATAAACCTTACATATTTGGGGCTCTTTTGGCTTAGCTATCATCAGCTTGGCAATGTAATATCGTTTCTTTTAATAGACATTCAGATTACGTTGTTATCGGTTAATATTTTAGTCTGAAACACAGGAGATGTATTACTGCACAGCTATAATCAGCAGTTTATCTGACAAAAAAAAAAAAACAATACTTTGTGTGGCAATGCAAGACTCGGCATTATATATGTATCAGCCCTCTGGCTGCTTATTCGTCATGGGAAGGCGATTGTTCATCCCCATGTAGTTATTCTAATTGTCCCGGCTCTTCAGCAAAAATGTTTTACAAGGTGTGAATTGGTGCTTATTTTGTATATATATTGGTGCTATATATATAAAATGCCTGCAGTCTTACATTTTTTTTCTTTGGAGCCTGTAACCTACTTAAGGCGTAGCATGATGGTGCTGCTCCAGGGACCGGACTTGGTAACCTAATTATTATCTTTCACTTATTCCTTGGGTCTCTCTGTCTCCTAGCTCACCTCTGATTTCATTGGCCGCCTGCGTGCTAAGGTCACAGAGCTGCTGTCCCAAATGGAGAATGGGCTGCGGTCTGCCGACCCCAGGGACTGCAGCGGCTACACTGGATGGGCAGGTAAGGATATTATCATCAGTGGTATCAATTGATTTTTAAATTGGAGCATGATTATTAGTAGCAGATTGCATAGTAGCTTAGTGGGTCCCACCTTGGCTTCATACTTCCAGAGCTGAGAGTTCACATTCTGCCCCCACTTTGTGTGTTTGAGTTTTGAATGTGTTTATACATGTTATCTCTGATTCTCAGACCAAAGACATGCAGTTAGGCAAATTTGTCTCTCTGAGTCTGTGGCCTCCAATGGACTGGCATCCCATCCAGAGTCTCTTCTAACCCAGTTTCCCCAGATAGTCTCTGGGCATATTGTGACCCATGCTGGATACCCTCACCTTCCCCCCCCAGGGGTAATTAATGTGAATGTGTGTTCCCCTGCCGCACAACAGGCATCGCCCTGCTATACCTACATCTCGACAGTGTGTTCGGGGAGTCCTCCTTCCTGCAGAGGGCGCTAGACCACGTGAGCCGCAGTCTACAATGCCTGACACGCCGCACTGTAACCTTCCTGTGTGGCGATTCGGGCCCGTTGGCTGTGGCAGCTGTGGTCTACCACAGGCTGGGGAGAAGCCAGGAGGCCGAGGAGTGCTTGGGCAGGTTAGTGTCAGCACATATAGCCCATAAAACAGCAGCATCTTTGTCATGCCATATCCATAGCAACAGACATAGCTCGTGGTTATTTGTGTCACAGTTACCTTGATGAACTAGAATCTTTTCACAAAAGCAACACTGGGGTGTCCAGTGGAATGGAACAGGAACTGAACCTGCAACCAACTCTCATATCAAGTGTTTTTTTTTTATTGTCATTTCAACCATATACAGTGGGTACAGTACACGGTGAAAAGAAACAATGTTTCCCCGGGACTTTGGTGCTACATTAAACAACACAGGGCTACAAAGCTACACTTAATGACATAAAGTGCATGTGTGTGCAAACATGTGCAGACACTGCAGGACTATGCAGTAAGACAAGACAGTGGCACTAACTAAGACAGTGCAGCGTTGACCAGTGCACAGTGCACGTCACATACCATACTTTGTCTGCTACATAGCAAACAAGTATGCAAGTATTTTTGGGACGTACCCTGTGTCTCCATGCAGTCAGGGTTTGTGACCACTTTCCCCTTCACCTTCTCAGGCTGCTCCAGATGCACGAGTCAGTCGTGAAGGGGAAGGGGAACCTTCCAGACGAGTTGCTTTATGGCCGAGTGGGATACTTGTATTCCCTGATCTTCATCAACCAGCAGTTTGGGCATGAGAAGGTTCCTTCCCAGTACATACAACAGGTGAACTAGCACCTCATTCAGGGTTTGCCTTGTTACTATAATCACCGTTGAAATAATTTGTTGCTCTCCTTACACTAATTGTGCTGTCATTTTCCGTCGCTGTACACAGTGTAATGAATATGGTTCGTCTGACTGTTAAAGCCACACTTTACTTGTTAGCTCAGTTTATTTGCATGTAATCACCAGTACACTTAAAGGGGCCCTGTTACGCTTTTCCAGTTTTTCCCTTTCCTTTAGGGTTATATAGCTTTTTGTGCATGTAACTTATCTGCAAAGTCTTAAGGCTCAAAGTACTTGCCAAAGGGAGTAACTCTCACCACAGAAACCACTCTCCTCTAATCTGCCTGAAACGCCTCGTTGTAATTCCAGCCCTTACTTCCATGACATGGTGAGGTCATCCCATAACACAGTCCTTATTGGCCACTTACCTGCGAGGATCTGTCTGCAGGCTGCAAGATAGGGCAGAACATGTAGGGCAAACTGACCTATCAGAGCACATGGGGCTCATCGGGGGGGTGTGGCTTAAAGATCTAACAGAGCTTTTCAGGCAGAATGAATAGTGATGTACATTAAGAGAAAAATTGTGTTTCTGGAACATTGAAGCATGTAAATCTATTCTGGTAGACCCCAAAAGTAAAATTACGAACAGTGAAAATGAGCGCAATAGGGCTTCTTTAAGTTACCAAGATATTTGAAACGTCTTGTCTGCGCTCAGCCCCGTGTTTGTGCCCCAGATTTGTGAGGCCGTCTTGGCCTCTGGGGAGAACCTGTCCAGGAAGCGGCAGACTCAGGAGCAAACGCCCCTGCTGTATGAGTGGTACCAGGAATACTACGTGGGGGCAGCACACGGCCTGGCGGGAATCTACTACTTCCTCATGCAGGTGAGCAGAGGGAGTTCCATTCATGCCAGCTGAATGCCAGCTATGCAGAATCGCACGTCAGAAGGAGAATCTCATTGGCCAGGAAATCAGGCACCTCTATCAGCCATTGGACCATCTCACCTTTCCTGTAGGGCTGGGCAATTAAAAAAAATAATAATAATAAATTTATAAATCATGTCAGCCAATGTCGACAACTATCACGATAAATGTCAGATTGTTGTTTCCAGTTTAAAAGCTGATTTTTGCTCTTGAGTAAAAGTTAAAGGAACCTGATGGGTAATTATGGTTTTAAACTATTCTTTATCGGCAGAACGTGCCCAACATTTTCTGAAGGGCATTTCACAGGTAGAAGTTGAACAGGTTATTTTAGTCGGCACCAACAGAACGCCGCCGCTCACATCATTTCTAGCCTTTCTGAATTCTCTGTGGATTCTTACTGTCTGTATTTTTCATGGACTGAATTTTACTGTGGACTAGTTTAGTTTGTTTATTTATTTGAACAGGGACAATGTACAAAATACATTAACCTCAAAAAAAGGAGAGATGCTTTGTACCAGGTTATACCACTATTGCTAATTTACACCTGTAGTCCCTGGACCGGCTGGTGTTAAAAGTGTATAAAACTGTGAAAAATGCAAATTGAGACAGATTATTATAAAAACATTATCATATATACAATCCAATAGCATACAAACACCGTTTACATACAGTCATTCAGAACATTTCAACTCCCAAACTTCAGTGCAAACTACACTTTCACACATCAGCTCTATGAGAGCAGGTTTGGGTTGATTGGATTTTGCTGGATTACCCTTATTGGCCGGGTTGCTTTGGGTTTACCTGCCCTCCCAGTCAGTTGCCCTTTTTTTCGTTTGACTGTGTTGTCTTTAGTCTCTCTGCCTATTGCATCTTATTTGTTCAACAAACCTCCCGTTTGAGTTCTATGGTTGTGTCTATGCTTTCGCTCCCCTGCCGAACCTGACAAGCAGTCATAGAGGAAGGGTTAGGGTTAGGGTTAGGTTGTCATTTCACTGTGACGCAAAATGAGTCCTTGGCGACACGTTGGGTCGTAATTCGTATAAAACTTTCATCGAGCATCAAGTGATGTTGACATCGAGGAAAATTATATCGCAATAATTGTTATCGTTTTATCGCCCGGCCCTACGTACGTTCAGAGTGCCCAAGTATCAAGCAATGAAGCAGCACCTCTCGGATGAGCCTGAAGGTGCATTGCCTTTTGTGGAGGATCCTTCGAATATTAAAAATAGAAACTATGCCCTGTTCCCCCTCCCCACCCCACAGCCAGGTTTCGGGGTGGGTGAGGAGAGGCGTCTGAGACTCGTAAAGCCCAGCGTCGACTACGTCCAACGGCTGAAGTTTCCGTCGGGGAACTACCCGCCATGCATCGGTGACTCGCGCGACCTGCTGGTTCACTGGTGCCACGGCTCACCCGGGGTGATCCACATGCTCCTGCAGGCCCACAAGGTGCGTTGAGGCGCTCTGAGTTTGCATCCCCTGTCAGGTTCCTTATCTGTACAGCAGTGACCCCTTGTGGCCATGTTAATGATTACATTTGCAAAAAGCTGATTTCTTTTTTTCATTTCAAAGTATGACAGTCGCCTTGGGCAACAAAAGCCATGTACCTCTGATGTTGTCCTATATTTGTTATACAGTCATATTTTTTCATTTTAGTGTCAGGGAGGCTATCATCGTGTATCCATTTATTTTCAACATAATTTTTCTTTTGTTGTAGGAGATGGAATAGAGGCAAATAGTTTTATTATCACCAAACAGACATATAGCTCAATAAGGTGAAAGTATTCATGGGGGCACATGCTTCGTCATATTTAGTGCATTGTGCTGGCACCTGGCGAGTGGGACGAGGTCACCTTTTATCTCCGAGCAGGTTACCTCCCCAAGGGCTGTTCTGGGCCTGCAAGAAACCATGCGGCGTATCGGGGGGGGGGGGGGGGACCGAAAACGGAGCCCCAGAGCTTTTCATCCTTCACTTTACTCTCCTTTACTCTCTTCCTTTCTTTTCTCCAGGTCAATGGTCACACATCAATGCAAGCCATGTCACTGCATTGGAACTAATTCATCGTTACTGCCTTTGTTAGCACTAATTGAAAGTACAGTTCATTTATTATATTATAAAAACTGAGTGTAGGTGGGCTTGCTGATGGATGGGGGGGTGGAGTCACAGGGTGTGTCCAAAATCACGTACTTACACAGTAGGTACTGAATTTTGTCAGAAGTCTACTATTCGACCGTTAATGTAGTACATACTGTATGTATATATGAGAATAGTATGCATGCACTTGGACACACCGCAGTCGGCATCTTTCATACTCCCTAACGCAGATGCCTACTAATGACATAGCTTGACCTCCCCACAAAAGTTGAATGAAAAACCCAATGAAAAAACTATGAATTAAAAAAATGCATGTTTGAGTCGACTTGTGTGACAGGGTATTGTTTCCTGCTCATGGATGGCACTTCCTCTGCCATCTTGACAAAAATTTCTGCAGTGTACTTCGTGTACTTCGTCTCTCTTTGCAGATCCAGTGACCTTGTGGGACAGCATAGTGTCCATCGGCTGCACACTTCAGAATTTTGCATAATGTAGTATAACATCCTGGTACCTTTCACATGCCATCTCATCCTTACTCAGTTACATACTGCTCATATCGCATATAATATTTTGTCTTCTACATGGACAAGTATACGATTTCGGAGACGGTTTTTGTGACCTTTGACCTATGACAGACCCTGCTCCACTTCACTTTCATTGCGCATCACACACCCCCAGTGTGGGAGTGTATCCTGGGATGAGCTGTGAGGGGCGGGGCAACCAGTACGTAACACTGGTTTGTTACAAAGGACCGGCAGAGTATCGCTCATCCGAATCCCGGAGAAAACCACCATCGACAGAGCATCTTACCAGCATTCCTGACATTGTCTTTTTCTTTACGTAGGTCAGTGTAGTACCGTCTCCAGCTGAAGCCGTACGCTTATTGATGTCTCCCCCGAGCAGGTGTATGGTGGTGATGGCTACCTGGGAGACGCGCTGCAATGCGGGGAGGTTATTTGGACCTGGGGCCTGCTGCAGAAGGGCTATGGTCTGTGCCATGGGGCAGCGGGTAACGCCTACGCCTTCTTGGCTCTGTACAAGGCCACAGGCGACCTTAAGCACCTCTACAGGGCCTGCAAGGTGAGTGTCTCCCTCCTCCTGTGGTTCGTTTCTCTCTTCAGAGGCCGTCCATCACTCACCATCACGCAAAAGCCTGGTTCTAAGCTAAAGAAATGACTAGATCATTCAGTCGGCCGTGATTAAGAGGTACGGTAGCACCATGCTCGGGTAGCGGTGCAGATTACTGCTTTTGAATTGGATTGTGTGAGTTTTTCAGTGTTTTTCTTTATAGTATAAAGGAACAAATTCTTGAGCTTTTCGTCTCCTGTAGTTTGCGGAGTGGTGTATGGACTACGGAAAACATGGCTGCCGTACCCCGGACACGCCCTTTTCACTGTTTGAAGGTATCGGAAGCCGTACTTCTGTTAACATCGTTCTGGCCCAAATCCACCGGGGGACGCCCCCCCCCCCCATACAGGGATTGGCTGCCCAAGGCCTTTGTAATTCATGTGGTATGACTACTGTAGACGTTCAGGCTGCGTGTCGGAGATGCTCTGGACTCCGCCTCAGCGGCTCTGCAGCCGTCAAGACCTGTTGCAGCAAATCTAGTCTGTGATGTAATTACTGTGAGTAATGCATCTGCTGAGTGGTACACATGTTAACAGGTCCGGGTTGCATAATGAAATGTGAAGTAATTTCATCACCAGAGCCATTATGCTCAGACCCAAAAGTAGTTATAAGCAGGTTTCATTGAGATATTAAGAGATCCATTATATACCAGGGAGATCTTTATAAACCACGGCTTTAGGCTAGTTAATAAATATATACTTTATGGTTTAGTTTCAATACACAGGGGCTCTTTCGAATATTTTTAATTTACTTTTTTTTTTTTTTTAAGTTTTAATAAATAAAATTCATGATGCAAAGTACTTCATATTGTTTGTAAATATGATATTGGAATCTAACATTTAATCCAAACACATTGATAACTTAATTTGACACAGTTCTTCATAAAAATGTGCGGAATCTCTAACAGTTATGAGGTCTCGGGAGAGCAGAGCATTATGGTACTTGTAATCACCACACCGTCGGCTCTCTGTCCCGTCTTCAGGTATGGCTGGCACCGTCTACTTCCTTGCTGACCTGACTCAGCCTCTGAGGTCAAAGTTCCCAGCCTATGAGATCTGATGGATTCCCCTCCGTCTTGGCACAATCACCCACGCGGTCGCTGTTCATGCCTGCAAGCAAATCCCGCTTTGACCCCCGGCAAACGCCGCCCCACAGTGCCACAGAGCTGCTGGTGTGGGTGTAGTGGAGTCAGGCTTGGTCTCCCTGTAGGTCGCTCTCTGGCTCCACCCCCATGATTTTTGGTTTGAAGACACTCAGGTTCAGGAGGTCTGGCAGGGTAATGCTTTGCATCCCCAATAAACGACACCTCGCCTCCGGACGGGCGAGTATGGAGAAGAAGAAGAAGAAGGACGGGGTAACCTGGTTATGGTGGGTGAACTAAGCATCCCTTCATAATTATTTTTTTACTAATATGTGATAGCACTTCTTTTTTGCTGATGTCAGTTTTTATATCCGAGTTTCAACTTTTTTCCATACCAATATGCACTTGTCACATAACTCGCCTCGATGAAGAGTCTCCTCTTTTCTTAAAATATTACTATTTAGTTTTGTGAGAATTTTTTGCCGTCACTGAACAGTAAAATAAAGTTTCATGTCACTGTCATTAAGCTGTTAGACCATTTCAGTTAATAGTTTTCACAGGAGGTGACTGTGACTGTGACCTGTCCTGTGGGGTATTTACCTATTTACTGGGTATTAATAAGGTACTCGTACTAATGTTTTCCATTAAGTAGGAAGAGTTCTGTAGCTTTCGTTTGCATGTAGCTGGTAGGTGATGTTTGGTGAGCTTTGTGGACATTAGCACCTTGGGGCTTTGCACACACTGCTGTCTGCAGTCCAGAACTGCTACTCATTGAAAAAATAATAAAGTGTTTGAAATCTGTCGCACCAAACCACTCTTGTCTGCCTTTTCTGTGATTCCAGTGCAAGGCCTGTACTGTGGTACCACAAAGGCCAAGGCACTGACCTCCAATCCTGAGAGAGACAAGGCGCAATAGAGATTAAACTTTTTGGTGCTTGGATGACCGTACCTATCCAGTCAAAAGCAGAAGATTAACAAAATTCACCTGGGTGGTTAGTCTGGTAAAACAAAAGTCTGGTGTGTTGCATGTGTCATGTCAGCATATTCAGACTTCGCTCATTAAATGTCCTGGACCCCAGTACATTGGCCCAATAATGGATGATTCAGTATTTAAAGATTTAGAGTTTATGATGTTGCTGAGGTATTTTCTATGAAAGGAAAGACGTCACTCAGCAGCTAGTAAACATATACTGAAGTTGGAACGATACAGGAAAGATTAGAATGACCCTGCACAGAATTCATGAAGCATTTGTAAAGTGCTACACTTTGGACAAAAGCGTTTGCTGAATAGTGACTCAATGTAGATGAATATAAACAGGAATGGACGTGAACAGGAGAAAAGCAGGGCAAACCTATGATCGGGAAACAAAGTAACAAACACTGGTGAAATAAGAACATAAAATTAAATAGGTAAGACCGGCCCCTGGCCAGCTGCAAACCCATGACCGGAGAGTCACTGAGCTATGGGGTCGTCTCATGACCTGAGCGAACACGCTAGGGCTAAGGGACAAGATGGAAGAAGAATAGGATGGCTAGCTAGCTGACCCTGACAAGGACATGATAAAAGTCTTTTTATCCAAAGCTATATGTGGTTATTTAATTATTTTTTTTAATTTTTCCTCTTAAAAAATTCTCCATCCACATGAAAATGCTGAAACGCGTTGTCAAGAGCATGTCAAACCAACAGGTAATACCATAATATTATAACTCTAACCGTAAAGCCTTGTTGGCCAATCAAAAGCCTTATTACCAGCTATGCTAGGCTAAAAACAGCTAATGCAAACAGCGATTGGTGCACGCTCTGACGTCAAACGGAGCGGACAGTGGCACACAATCTGACGTTACAGGCCAAAAACTCTGTTTTCCCTGTCTAGGTGTCTACACTGAAAACGGAGTTTCTGAAAATCTTCACCCTGGACAGGGTTTTACAAAAGCTCCATTTTCAGTGACGTAAAACACCATTTGCGTGTGGATGAAAGGCCAAAACGCATAGAAAAAGCTACGTTTTTAAAAATACCCATGTAAGCTTGGACAAGGCCTTACACCAGGGCTATTCAACTCACAGTCCTCAAGGGCCGAGCCCTGCTGATTTTCCAGCCTTCCTTCACCTGTGAGCCAGGTGTGAAGCCTCTGACCAATCAGAATCAGTAATTATTAAACTAACTACCTGGGAGAACTGAAAACAAGGCCTGGATTTGGAATTGAGGGCCTGAATTGAATAACCTTACCTTGGACAATCCTTATAGCAACTGGGGGTTAAGAGCCTTGTTCAGGGGCCCACCAATGAAACTACCAAACCAAACCTGGGATTTGAACCCTCACCCTTCTAAACATAGGCATAGTGTCCCAGCCCGCTGAGCCACACCCTCCTTAGCTGAAAGTGCAGAAGAATCCCCTTCATCTACAGTGTACAGAGGTCTGCTAAAAATGCTAAATTAAGAATATGATGTTGAGGAAGGAGACCTACAGCAGGGTCGCCTTCCCATGTCTCCCTGGTTCAACTCTGACACCAACAGAGTGACCAAGGACTAGTGGCACCCATTGGTGAGTGAGGGCATTTGAGGGTCCCACCCGCCCTATAGCTACTGAAGCCCTATTTCTGCGTCGCTGTGTAATTATCTCTACTATCCTGTCCAGTATTAAGTTGCAGGTTGTGATAACCAACTCAGCTGTTTAAAGGAGATGCCACGCTTTCACTCCAAAGTTAGAGTTTACTTACAGTTGTCATTATGCTGCCCTGTGTTTATCGGACCAGTCTATTTTCTTATGAATGGTGCATGAATCGTGATGCTAGACACGCTGCTCGGACAGGATAGATGTTCTCTTACACGATTAATCATGAGTGAAACCAGAGGATGCTGACAGCTCAGGCATGTGCTTAAACCCCCGGCACTGGAACATATCGATCTGTGATGAAGACGGTTTCCAGCATTCAGATTGGGTTTCTCTGACGACCCCCTAAAGGACCGCTGAGGCTTTGTGCGGCCTCGCGCGCCGTAATCCTCCGCGGCTTTGCGGACGGCTTTTAGCGGCGGGCTGGAGGAGTGAGTCGACCTCCTTAAGGAGCTGCAGCCCCTGGGAGAAGCCGCAGGAAACCTCACACCTCTGGGGGGGGGGTGCCCTTTAAATAGCTCGCATCTGTCCTGGGGTTCAGTTTCACTAACATTCCTGCCGTAGCGTGCAGTGGACCCCATCCACAATGGGCCCCCAAAGGTCTATGTCACTGACCCCACCCCGGACCCCAGAATCGGGGTCCTGCTGACCAGTAGTGTATGGTCTTGGTGCGGTCTTGGTGACGTCAAGACCCTGACCGCGCTATAGGTATCAGACATAGGTGAGGAGTGTCTGTGCAGCCCTTTCACTGCTACCCTTCTATCTTTTAGCCAAAACCTAACATCATTTTTTCGTTGGTGTCTCCAAAGTTCCTTCACCCCTAGCTTTCAGGTTCTCAGTTTGGCCGTAATGCTCATTCGATCTGACACCCAGACTGCCTCCATTTTATTACAGCTGTCCAAACGGCCCTTTTCTGGTCACTGGTGCTGTGGCTCGATATACTTTCTTTGGCGTCGTTTCAAAGCAACAGTCGGGTGACTGAGTCCTCCACGGCCGGCGCTCGTCTCTCGAGGGATTACATGGACAGGGTGCTGATGGGATAGGGTGACCCATCGGGCCGCTTCCGCTCTGGCTGCTCCTAACTTTTCAGAAACCGATGGAAGTAGCAAGAGCAGAAATCTCACGTCTCGCCCCCACTCCGAGGGGAGATGTGTTTTATGGGACGACCTCTAGGGGGCGCAGTGTGTACTAACAGCCCATTACTGGAAACTTGAGAATGTGATAAGACATCTCAGCGATATGACATTTCAGTCCTTTTGGGCTGAATGGATTCCATGACCTAAATGACTTAGCTCACTATGGTTTTCAATCACGTTAAAACATGTTATAACTGCAGTTATTCTTTCGGGGGATGTAAATGAAATGTCTCTGTATCCCTTTACTATTATAGCTATTCATCAGCTAAATGAAATTGATGAAAAGATTGCACACATTTTGACGACAAATGTGTTCACATTTGTTACCCAGGAGCTCAGTTAAGAAAATGCTCATGATTTCGAAAATCTGCTGGAAATAAAACCAGCAGATCTTCTGTTCTAACTCACCATTGCGTTGTGTTGTGTTCAGAAGGTTCAGGGAAGTCATGCTTGTTAAGTTTCCCATCTCCATAGATTTTATGCGAGCATTTTCAGTAAAGAATAACTGTTATATCTTTTACATTAGCTTGTTTTAATGACTGGCCTACTTATACAGGGTAATACCGGGTAATGCATGCCTCTTGGTGTCATTCATGTGAGAAGTTATTTATGCGTTGACTTTAAGCATGCTGATGTGATTGTGCTGGTTTCTTTCAGTATTTTCACATTTCTAAGCTAATCTCTGTGACCGCAGTGAAATCCACTTGGGAGATTGCAAGACTTCCAAAGCAAGCTTCATTTCTGCGAGACTCCCTTGGCTTCTTTGACTGAAAAATATCGCCTGTTCTCCCTGTGGCTCCAGCTCACAGGTGGCTTTGATTAACCAGTCGATCAATTTTTCAATGGAGCAGAAGGACCTTTGACCAGACATTTTTCAGAGGACCGACAAACGTGACGTCGACATTCGCTCATCCCTGAAATCAAATGCGCTTTGAGTGTTTTAACGCTGGCCTTTGGTTTGCTGTAGTGGCAGGGCGGAGACTTGGAGTCCGGGGGGGGGGCACGGGGGTGTCACCAACCTCATTCCTGTGGTTCTACACACGATCATGTGTTTCTGTGTCTTCCCCCTGGCCAGGCAAGGGCGTAACTTTGGGTTGAACACTGAGAGAGCTGAGGTCTCCACCCATTTAGGGGGGTCCAGGGGCATGCATTGGTCAGTTTTAATTACTTAGGGGGTTACAACCCCCTATCAGATGAGATCAGAGAGGCCCGGACGTTTCACACATGCATTCACACAGGCAATCCAAAGAGAAAGCAGCTGTATTAAAGCCACATTTAGGTGCTATAGTCCGTGTTGGAAGGCTGCAGCTTTGTCATGAGCGTCTAAATCAGGGAAGATGCATCCCCTAAATGACAGCCCATCGGAGGAAGAACCACAAACACCATGGCTGCTTCTCAACAGGCGTACCCGATCGTACTTGTGTACCTGTTTTACTTCACCTTCCATCGCCAAAGACCTGTTCCAATACTCAAGAACAGAAGTACAGAGGATTGTAGAAATCCCCGGATGTTGGTCTTGCCCCAAATCAGAGTCAGATTCACTTTATTTTCCCAAGTATGTTACACATACAAAAAATTTGTCTTGGCGCATGATTGACATGTAACATCAAAGATACAACAGTTACATCATTGCCAAACAAAAATTACTTCCCCTATCCTATTATCTTGTTTTTCCATCAAGACATTTGAAAGAAAGTTTTTGAAGACTGAGGCCACAGTTGCCTCCATAAGTTACACATACCCTTTCTTAATACCATGGCTGCCCTGCCCTGTGTCCCCATAAGGCGGGGGGGGGGGGGTCCTGACTCTAGTATAATTAGAGCGTCAAGAGTGTTCAGGGCTCCTGGGACAGGTGCAGGTTAGGAGGTCCAGGAGGACGTGCCATGGGCCTTCGTGGGTGAGCGCCGATGACAGCTGAAGAAATGAGGCTTTCTGTGGTCCGGTCACCCCCCTGGGGGAGGGGTGTTCAGAGAAAGTAGGGCTGGGAAGCATATGAATGTCTTGGGGCTCCTTTTCCCCTGTCTCCTGCCAGGGGGAATAGCGGGGGCCTCAGGGACCGATTTAGACAAGGGTGAAGGAACCAAAAGTCATCTAGTTGGCCCTGTCTGGTAAGTGGCACTGGCAGCTGACAGTCCCGGCCCCCCATTCCCCCACTCCTCCAGAGCAGAGGGCTTTACGGGCTGCCCAGAGCTGATCTGGGGGGTGCGTGTGTCCTTGTTTCAGAATCATCTCCACCCTCTTCACTTTCACTATTTTCCCAACTAGGGTGGTGTGCTAAACAAGTGACCCGCCACATGACTCTGGTCAGAATGTCAATTAGACTCTATCTTGATTGCAAACAGTTATTTCTGGAAACTTTATGTATACTGAAGCATGCGGTTTCTTAAATGAACACTAATGGCAAAGCAGCAAACAGATCACCTGGATTTGATCACAATGCTTGTGTGTTTTTTGTGTGTGTGCTAGTAATTACGTATTACGTAATTTGCACTGGATCTAATGATTTGAGTTCTGATTTACTAACTAAATATAAATAAATACACAAGACGCCGGGGTGAGCCGTGGGGGGCCTTGGCCGTCAGACACCTTGCCACCATGACACAGCTTCCTTAGCCTGGATGCACCATTTCTTAGAATAGAACACGCTTACTAGTGTCCACATGCTCCTCTTTCATTCATTGGTTGAAATCCAAATGGGTGCATATTTCAAAAACCTGTCCGTACCCATGGTGTTTTCTGACTCCTCTTTGTAAGCGGGAGCAGAGCTATTGGGAGCAAGATTGATTCACTTGTAATGGTAGCACTTCACTTGACAGGGCACAAACCATATAATATTATGGTATTACTTATGTATCAATTAACCACAAACCAAGTTTTAGTTACACACTGATCTCATGTTAATTAATTAATCATTAATGAATTCTGATGCATGTTTCATCTCAAGCTATTACTATATTTGTACTATATCTGTTAATTCTGTAAACCCTTGTGAATTACTGAAGGAACAACTAAAGGAACTACTGAAGGAACAAATAATGAATAACACAAGTGAAATACTCATCTCATGTTTGTTCATCATGAATGAATCGTGACTTTTTAATCTTATCTCAAGTAGCAACTATTTGTTCATGATTTATAATGATTTGTACTTCAGTAGTAACTGAGTTATTACTAAGCATTTTTGACCAATCAAGTAAAGTGTTACCCTTGAAATTATCAACACCAAATGCTGGATAATCTCTAGAGAGTATGCAGCCACCGCAAAGATGTATCCATAGGGAGAAGAAGTGCACCGTTCAGTTAAGAGGCCGCTCTGGAGATGATGATGATGATGATGATGATGATGATGATGATGATGATGATGGATGTTGTTATCTTCCACCCATATTCTATCCAGATATTCTGATCACGGTCACAATGATCAGAATTATTAATTATTATAATTATTATTATTTGTTATTAATTATTATTAATTATCACACATTAGCAGTCTCAGATATTTCAATTTTCATGAAATGAGAGGATATGATCAACAGCTACCATTCCGTAAGTGTCTTTAAATAGGCCTAAGGATTTGTTTTATGAGCCGTCAGAGCGATCACGTTAATCGTTATTAAAACTCTTGGCTCGGTGGGTAGGCGTATTCATTCTGAGTTAGTGCCAGCAGGAAGGCATATCTTGACGGGCGGGGTTAGACAAACTGAACGATTTGCGATGGGATGTTATCATTTATGAAGGGGATGTGATCAAATGACCATATGCCGTTTGGTAACACTTTACTTGAGGGGCACAAATAATGTAGTATTATGCTATTACTTACGTATTAACCACAAACTATCAAAATAATCATATAGTTACTCACTGATCTCATTTTCGTTCGTTCATCATCAATGAATCGTGACGCATCTTTTTTCTCAGGTAGCTACTATATTTGTACTTCAGTAGTAATTGAGTTACTATAACTTACTACTAAGTATTTGTCTCCGTTTTGGACGGATTCTGCCATAGATCTTTGCCGAGGTCACATTGCGCTCATTCGGTTTGTGACTGCGTGGTTACGTACTTCGCGTCCTGATTGCACTGGTCTATGTTTTGTACAGGTCTACATTAGGATATTATTACAGATATAGATTGTCTAACTATAGGCTCTATGCACACACAGACATGCACACACACACACACACACACACGTGAAAGTTATCCGAACTACAGAAATAGACGGGTTGTCATTGTCTGTTTAAGAAATAATAATAAAATGATATGGTTATCAGTGGTAGTCATGCTGTGACAGACTATTTATCACTGGGGTTGCAGTTAAATCCGCGGCTATTAAACCGTTTTTTCCCATCCATTTATATTATATAGGCCTAGCTAAAAAATGAACATTATTCATTAATTTTAATATAGACTGAATTTCCATCCCAGCCATCTGCAAGCTGTCGATGCGGATGCTAGAAACTTCTAGGAAACACGTACAGCGAACCAACTGGCTTCCACAAAAATAAACCATGAGCCAAAATAAAATATTTGACTGTATTTGACCGTACTTCGTATTCTGTAAATTGTTTAGTCACGTGGGTGGCGGTGAAACGCACGAAATAAACCCATTGTTCACCTGGACTTATAATAAAGCTAAGGAGCGGGCTGCTTGTCTACGTCAGTGCCCACGGATAATAACCCCATTTATCGTTTCCCGTGCAATTTCTACGCTCTAAATAAACAGGTTGTAGAGCGGTCACACTATCTCGGCCCAATTCCATTTATAGAGCAGGCACACACCCTTCTCAAGACGCTGTCCAATCCGTTCACAAGTGTCTGTACGACGACGAAGACTGAGTAACATATGCACATATATATACTGCCATTCTATTCTTTAACGCCTTGTGTGTCGTCCAAGTTCACTAAGCTGCAGCTCACCAGTTCTTTTGGCACCTTGATCCCGGGCAGGAGTCGTATATATTCTTCGTCTTAAATTAAATTTTAGAAGAACGAAATGGCACCAAAGAAAGACGTCAAGAAAGCCGAGCCCGCGAAGCCGGCTGCTGCACCCGCACCGGCACCCGCACCGGAGCCTGCACCGGCACCTGCTAAGCCCGCCGTCGACCTGTCCGCTATCAAGGTAATTTTCATTTTGCTCTCTTCTATTGCACAGCCCCATTTTTGTGCGCTGAAAGTTTCATCGACTCATTCATTCAAAGGGCAGAGCAGTTCCTCTAAAAGTAGCCTACGCTGAGATTCCGTAGCCCGAAACTAGGTAGCACTACGTAGACGATTGCAATACAATCCCCGATGAGCGCTGTTAACGGTACAAACTATAGGTTAATAGTTTTTAATTGTCTGATCGGTGTTTGTAAATGTGATATAAGCAAAATATATCTTACTATTATTCAGTGTCTGATATTAAATATAGAGTGATTAATTGCTATTTTTGTGTTGTCAAGAGACCTAAGTTAATTGATCTTTCTGGATGATTGCCACAGATTTTCCGCCTGGGGCCGTCAAAGACCTCGGAAATAAATGGAACTAGATCACTAGATTACAGACAAGTGGCATCGAGCCTATAAAGATTTTTTCCTTTTTATTATTTAATTTGGTTATTCTTGTAGGAAATTATCCAACACACAAATGTGTGTCATTGTGCGCGTATTATTGTTGACTTTACAATTATGTTTAGTGCTGAAATTAATTTACATTTTGTTCATGATCAAAGTGCAGTTTTTTTATTCTAAGTAGGTTTCTAGCACATATTTAACTATAAATTGACACACTATGAAACGTAACAGACCAAAATGGTTTCTTCATGAAATACGCTGTGATTTTGTTAGGGATAGTTCTGAACTGTCTGAATGACTGAGCTCCCTTACAGGCATGAGGTCTGCGCACCTTAAGCCAACAAGCTCCAGTTAATCCAGATTGCGTCGAAATGTGGGAGGGCGGGGCCTGTCGGTTCGGTACCAAATGTGGAGCCATGATTGCATCCAAAAAAGGCTCTGACTACTCTATTTAACTAAGGAAAGAAGGAAACAAAATAGAAAGCTTAAGTTTACATGACCATGATGTATCGCTATATATGTACAATATACTTTCAGGCAGTAACCTAAAACACAAGATGTAGTCAAGATGGTGTTAGGCCTAATTATTGCAAGTGCAGCTTACACGTTGTACGCTGTAAAATAATGCTGTGTATTTCAATACCGTCACTTTCAAGAGCCAAAACTTTCAATAGCCACTTATTCATACACACACGAAAAAAGTGAAGACACTTAGAAAATACTTAAGTAAAAATAAATGTAAATGTAAAATGTTTTGACTTCGATTAGCCTATTTACTCTTGCTTTGTAAAGTTAACTAACCTTGATATTTGTCCAGTAGTAATATTTATCTGGCTTCAACACGTAATATACCTGATGATGAAAATTTCGTATAGGCTACTCTAAGTTGGGACCACAAATTCATGATATAAACATCAGCGGATGATCCATAATAAAAATAATAAAATCATACTCTTAAATAATAAAATCATAGCTCTTAAATTAGGACACTAAATTACCTATCTTATTACATTAGTAGAAATAAAAGGAAACCGTACATTTTTTTTTAACCAGTGATGTGAGTTACAAATGCATTGCTCGAATATGTTTGAAATACGCTGACCAAAGCGAATAACTATAAGTGACTTTTGGCAGTTCCTAAATATAGCACCCATCCTTCTAAAGACCCCTACAGTCAGGAGATTGGAGATCCGCTTTCAGGTTCCCGCAAGCATGTGGAAGAAGTCAGGCGCCGCTTATACTTTTTTCCCTGTAATAAATAGGAAATGTTCCACACATTCCTGCTCGGAAACTCAGTTTTTTATTTGCGTGGTAGATTTTTGTAAGTTCGAATGACATCACAAGTAAATGAGCACTGCGATGTGAGGACTGACAAGACCCGCTGGATTTTATAATATTTTTCTTTTTTTTTAAGCGATTGCATATTCACATTTTAGCATGTACTAATATGAAAATATAGGTATCTCCCTGTCCAAATTCCATCTTTTGAAAGCCCGGATATAAAGACTAGAAGCTACTCTGTCCCATAATGTGCAGTGAGGTCTCTGGGACACAGAATGTGTTGATATTAGAAACGCTACTGGGAAAACTAGCGTGAAGCAAAATAAAACCTAACGGAACGTCTTTTATGATTTGCGACACTGTGGGAGGGTGGGAGAGCAATGCATTCTTTCCACACAGGTACTGTACATCGCCAAGTGATAATAAATATATAAATTACTGGTGTAATTGGATCCATCACTGGTGCACGTTCCAGTTCTCCTGGGAATTCTAAGTCATTTTAAGGTGTGAAACGTTCTACTTTACACTCACTTATAAAATTTTCCAGCTGCGAGACGGCAATTAACCGGAGTGTAAAACGCAACCCACATCAAACGGATATCCTGCAAACCCCAAACACACAGAGCGTAGGTGGGATTCACACCTCCATTACCCACTGAGCCACAACGAGCCCCTCACCATTAGCACGGACATCTCATAAAACAAAAGTTGGTATGAATATGCTCAGAATAAGAGACAGCTGCTACACCATTCAGAGTGTGAGAGTGTGTGTGTGTGTGTGTGTGTGGGGGGGGGGGGGGTAGTTAGGCTTTAGCACCCCACCCCTTTTTTGTATTAAGTATGCCCCCCCCCCCAGTTGAGACTCTGCCCCCTTCCCATTCATCTTTAACTGCGTCTGTTGTGTGACTTACGGAGATGTTCTTATATCAGAAGGTCTTGCACAAGATGGCTGGTTCCAAATAGTTTTGTTTCAAAATATCTATTCTCTGTCCTCTACAGGTGGAGTTTTCTGCTGACCAGATGGATGGTAAGTAAATTTTGGAATGTAGTATATGTTCAGAAGACAGATAAGTTTGAATGTGTGCATGTAGTGTATCCCAAGGAACCGAAGAGTATTTATCGTGGGGACACCCCTCCATGCGACAAAATGGATCGCTCTTGTCACCCCCTCAGCAAAATTTACGTGGAACCGTAGGGTTCCCCAAGGTCCAAGGCTGAATTTTAGGCCCAGTCCAGCCTTGTGTGTCTTACTGTATATGTTTTACCTTGTTTTACTTGTTTCGGTAGAGCACCGATCATACAGCGCAAATATTTAATCGGAAACTGCACTGTGTTAACAATCAGTTAATGAAACAACTAGCGTAAAAATAAATTAATATAACAATGCAATCGCTTGTAGCCTGTTGCACCAATAACTGGTGGTCCCCATTCTTTAATATTACAGACGCTCCTCTACTTACGAACTTTCAGACATATGAACAAAGAGGACTGTAAGTCCAAATTATATTAATTTGGGCTCCCGTTTCCTGTCCACAACATCAATTTTTTTTTCTGCGCTCCAATTCTGCCTAGTACGACTTCTGGCCCCTACTCCCGCCGCGCAGCAGCGTAGCGTGCGTACTCCCAGAATCCTAGTTCTTTGTACATGCTTATACCTTTAAAATGATGTTGAATAACGACTTACGAACGGCCGTTCGGAAGGTATCTTGTTCGTAAGTAGAGGAGCGTCTGTACTGTCCTCAGGTTTGCCATGTGATGATCGTACTGTTGGTTTATTGTTGTGTGTAGGCTTATTTAGGATAATGGCAATTATTGATGTTCCCAAAAATACAGATCGGGATATTTTTATCCTTTTCACAAGGCTGGCGCGCGGCCCGGTAAACCTGGCATTTATTAGGGACGCCAGACCACCTGCACCACATGCACAAAATAAAATGTATGGTAACACCACGATAATTGTAATGAAATTGCTCCCATCTGCATTTGTATACCTGCTGTATTAATTATAATTACTTCTATGAATGCAGGCATGGTTTGGGGGCATGGGTTGAGGACGGTTTTGGTACACGTGGAGGTGGGGTAGGGATGGGGATGGGGATGGGGACAGATGTCATCCCCAAGTAGCTCTCTAGTGCGCATGTTACCATGCGATGTCACCTGGAACCCTCCTTTTCTTGGCCAACAGGGGGCGGTGTTTGCTCTTTTTTTGTCAGGGGCGCTTGATATGTACACGCCGGCTCTGCCTGCTCCTTATCATATATAGGATAACCCTTGTTACATGAAAAATGCAACTACAGACTAGCAAGGAAACAGGCAGTCAGCCTTGATGGGTTTATGCACTGTCCTCTTATTTTCTTTGAGTAGCCTATATTTATTTCCTTCAGCACGTAGTCCAATATTGGCAGCTAGCTAGCGACTTCTCGCGGTCGGAGCTCTAAAAGCTGAATTGGTTAATTATAAAGAGTTTATGCTTAGTGTGGCAGCCGTGGGCCCTAGTGCTTTGTAGGCTGTATGTGTTTACTGAACGCTTGGCCGTAGCACCAGTACGCAAACCCGTGTGGCTGAAATTAATTAAACACGAACATAACAACAAGTATAATATTATTATTATTGGGGGCACTATGGGGGAGGACGTAAAAAGAGGCATCAACGCAACACAAACATACACATAGGAGGTATTCCTACTGAATAAAATAAAATGTCAACATGAAACAAGGGGAAATCCTGAAGACTTCAGGCAGTTCAGAAATCCCAACTGGACACATTTTTAGGTCCCAAAAAGAGGACAAATCCAGGAAAAAGAGGACGTATGGTCACCTTAAATTAGATACATGGATACTGAATATCGGCAGACTGATATAGCGATTGTTCCGTTTTATATTAGTCTACCATATCTGTACCACACAAATTGGTTAGAGGGGTTCAATGCAGCTCCACCCAAAAACTGCAGGTAATGTGTTGTGGAATTTAACGAGTAGCTAAATGGCCCCATCATTAGAGTAAAGGTTTGTGTTCCTCTGACTGTTCTGCCCATAGACTACAGAGAGGCCTTCGGACTATTTGACAGAGTTGGTGATAACAAGGTGGCCTACAATCAGGTGGCTGACATGATGCGTGCTCTTGGACAGAACCCCACCAACAAGGACGTAGCGAAGATCCTGGGAAATCCATCTGCAGAAGGTGCCGAAATGCCCCCTCCCTCATTAACATTCCCAGGCCAAGCCCCCACTTCTACAGTTACCAATATGTGGACCCTGCACTTTGCGGCTGGGGGAAATAGACCGATGGTTTACAATACTGTAGCAGCTTCCCTTCCAAAGCATACAGCTGCATGCCGTCCCAGTTTTCTGACTGTCACACTGTCGAAAGCTCACTCTCACTGGGGGGTGTTTCTAAAATCCCTGTAGCAGGAGAGAAGCACCAGTTTGGTTGTACATGCATGCAGAGATGGAAAGTTCAGGTTCAGAAAGTGAGAATCCAGACCAATATTTTGTTTTAACCAACTAGTTAGCTGGTTGGTTGAAACAAAATATTGGTCTGGATTTTTACTTTCTGAACCTGAACTTTCCATCTCTGCATGCATGTACTTTTTCTTAACACCCTGGTCCACCGACTCCATGCAGAAATGGCCAACAAAAGGGTGGACTTTGAGAGCTTCCTGCCCATGCTGCAAGCCATCGTCAACACCACAGAGAAGGGAACCTTTGAGGACTACGTGGAGGGTCTGCGTGTCTTTGACAAGGAGGGCAATGGCACAGTGATGGGCGCTGAGTTGCGAATCGTCCTGTCAACACTGGGTAAGAGTAAAGACTGGCTACTGGCAGCATTTGGATGCAGTGCTATTTTAACACCATTAAGAGTTAAGCTTACAATTCAGTGAATTTTTTTTCATACATTTCAAAAATTTTGTAAAAATTTTAAATAGTACATCCCCAATATTGTAAATTACCTACAGAGTTGCAAAATCCAGCACAGATTTAAAAGAATAAAGGTCTGAAGATCAGTTTGCTGACTAAGACTTTGCCGGTGTTTCTTGGTCCTGTGTGTGCATGTACGTCGCGAATGTTTTTGCGCTGACCGGCCATCGATGCATCCGCAGGTGAGAAGCTGACTGCGTCCGAGGTCGATGCTCTCATGCAGGGACAGGAAGACGAGAACGGCTGTGTCAACTACGAGGGTCAGTACCAGGCCCCCTGATCTGTATGTCTCAGTCTGCAGGACTCCATCAGAAGACAGGCATCAAACTGCATCATGCCCTGTATTACTGTATATAAAACATGCTGGAATTGTGTCTTGCTATTACCAGACTTATTATCTTTTACGCTTGTTGAAATATATGTATTTTTACGTCTATATATTTGCACTCTTACGTTTACTTGCTCACGCGTAACAGTTCCTTTATACTGTGTTTTGCTAAGTTCACTGATCATCACAAATTTGAAAGACAGACAGACAGACAGACAGATAGATAGATAGATTGATTGATTGATTTCAGTGGTTTCAGTGGTTTCAGTGGATTGGGTGACCCAAAGACAATCCAGTGTTTTCAACAGGTGGTGATTTTTTTTGGTGCATACGGCACCGACTATGTCCCATGTATTCTGTTGCCCCCCCGCCCCCCCCGCTTATCTCTTTCATGTCTCTCACTTCTCCCACTCTCTCTTCCTCCCCTCCCAGCTTTCGTCAAGCACGTCATGTCTGTGTAAGACGTCTCCAGCAGAAGTCGTGGAAGCCGACGCATATCTGCGGACCCTATGGTCTCGGGACGCCCACTCATTGTTTCTTAGACCAGCCGAGGAACAAAAAGGACAATGGGATGTCACTTCTCAGCCATTCGTTTCCTTTTTGCTTTTCTGTCCTCCCCCTCTCTCTGGAGGCCACCTCTCCACAGCAGAGCATGCCCACTTTTAACCTGAACCCCCTCCAATTTGCTGCTTGTGAAGGTTTGCCTCCTACAGAGGGATGGACCAGAGGATGTGGTAGAGGTGGGAGTTGCCCCCTCCCCTTGCCCCACCCCACCACGTCACTGCTGTACTCACTGGTGGTGCTCAAATACTTGCCATGACTTTGTACTTGACCTCCCATTCCCTCAACACGTAATTTATTTTTGGTCTGTCATTTCACAAAATAAACTTGTTAAAGGTACACCATAACCTGACCTACCTCTGTTCTTTCCTTTCACATTTAAACACCTAAATTTATTTTACATATAATACCATTGATTATCTGTTCTTGAACCAGTTTGATTTACGGTGAAATACACATTTTTCTTTTTCTTTACATTATTCATGCATCCTTTGCTGTATCCTATATATAGAACAGAGCAGAATCGCTGTAATTTATTAATCTCTTTGGGGAAATTGGGTTGTTTTTGCACATCCCAGCTTGCTCTCCATGAACAACACAGACAAACATGTTTTTATATACAAATGAGAGCAAGTTTTGGAGTCGGCGCACATTATTGCTCATTAACAGAATCTGATAAGAATAATCGTGGGCGATGAATTTGAAATCCTTTCTCCCTGCTCCCATCTCCTACTTTTTTCACACAAAAGTAAGCACTATCAATTATTTTTAGTTTAGCCAATGCCATTACATATCGCTACCGACATTTCTTCCAATTCCTACAGGTTTACATTGACTTCAAAATAAAACTAGATTAAAACAGGAGTGACCCAAAGTGTTTTGTTAATCATGACTCGGGGTAAATGGTTGTTTCAAGAGTCAGGTAATAGACAAAGTGAGAAATTGCAATGTGCTAAAAAATAACCTTATTGCTAATACTTCCCTTGTGATGAAATTGTCACAATTCCAAATTTTGAAATATGTTCATACCACTCTCAACACTAGGTGGCAGTATTCACGGCCACATTTGTCATGTGGCTTGTCCTGTCCTCCGAAGGGGTGTCAGTCACAGATCAGGTTAAAAAAATGTAAGATGGGGCAGAGGGACTCTTCAGAAAAACACCAACTCTGGTGGTTTAAGCGATGAAGTCACAAGGCAGACCAGCGTCTGCCGTAACAGTAAGTTTATGTTCCTGGCAGGTAATTTTAATGGTCAGATTAATTCATAGGCTACTCTAGGCTATTAAAAGTGCCTGATCAATCCATTCCCCCAATTTGAAAAGTTTTACCAAAGGCACAATTGCTGATTTGCAGATTACTGACGATAACGTTAGTTTTTAATTCTCTCGCATTTCCCTTTTAGCTGAAAAAGCAGCTCAAGTGGGCTTCCTCCCCACATCAGCCTAGAGCTCCCAAACAAGTTAATCCATCCCTGTCTGACTTAAGCTTGCCGCAATAATAGTCATCAGCCAAAATAAACCATGATATTTTATCAATAGCAATGGGGAAGTTGTCTTTTGACCAATCCCATCTTGCACTCTGTGAAACGCACACACATATAGGTTAAAGTTAGGAGTGTCCTAACATACAGAAACCCTAGGCCAATTGTGGGTTATTAAGAACCATGCCCAAAGCCCCAACAGTGCTATAAGTCTATTGGCACAGGGATTTGAACCAGCAACCTTCTGATCACAGGCACAAAGTCCTAACCAACTAAGCCAGATGGTGATGGTCATGAAGATACTTGCAGGGATGATGTCAACTAACTGACATCATGGTGCCAGGAGAGCAACCTCTTTCTAAACATCGGCAAGACCAAGGAAATGATTGTGGACTTCTGCTCGAAACAGATCAGCGTGCATGCACCCCTCTACATGCATGAGGCTGCAGTGGAGAGAGTCAGCTGCATCAACTTCCTACGGGTTAACATCTCTCAGGACCTGTCCTGGTAAAAACTAAGACAGCACAGCCCAGCAGCCCCTGATCTTTCTTTGTAGGATAGAGACTTGGCATGTCCTCCCACATCCTGAGGAAGTTCTGCATGTGTACCATGGAGGGTATCCTGACTGGCTGTATCGCTACATGGTATGGAAACTGTACAGTCCATGGTCAAAATAACAGGAAAAGACAGCATAGAATATCGCTGGTTGCAATCTGTCTGACATCCAGGAAATCTACACAAAAAGATGGCCAAAAAAGTCACGTTTATGTTCAAGGATCCAGCCATCCCAACCACAAAGTGCTTTCAGTAGGACCACCAGGAAAACAGCGTCAGAGCATCAGCTTACTAACAAACAGACTGTGCCAGGCTATATTTCAGGTAGCAAAGCTGCTCAATACCTGATTAGTATGGAAAATGTGCACATTTCCATTTATTATTTATTATTCCCTTTCGGGGGTGGCACGGTGTTGCCATGGCAAACACTGTTGTCTTACACCTCTGGGACCAGGGTTCCGGTCTCTGCCACGGTGTTGTGTGTGTGTGTAGACTGTATGTCCTCTCTGTATCATCATTGGAGTTACCAAATCACCCTTAGGTGTGAGTGAATGACAAAGGACTGGCACCCTGATCCTGGGTTGTTTCCTGCCTTGCACCCATAGACTCCAGAACCCCCCCCCCCAACCCTGAATAGGACATTGGATTGATATTCTATTTAGCAATTTCATGTATTGGTTTGTTTATAATATTTTACTCTTAACCGTACTTATTTCTTTACTACAGAGATAAATACATTTTGATTTGGTTTCACTGTCCTTCTCAGGGCTGGTTAGTGTGTTGATCGAAATGGTTAAAATGTCCTTTTATTTCCCCGTCGAGAGGGGGCGCTGTCGTGTTGATTACGCTGCAGTGCGGAATCGAGTCAGTTTACTCAGTGTCCTATTATAGTTAAAATGTATGTGAAGAAGCTTGTACAGAACTGCTTCGGCGGCCTAAGAAATGCCGCTTTTAGGGTCCCCGTCCAGCGAACTGCGAGTGCTACATGTGTCAGGTATGAATTCACGTATAATATCGCTGGAGTTCAGTCCGAAAGTACTGGTCTTTTAACTTTGCTTATGCATTAAAATGCACTCGCTTTGTGATCTGCAAATATGAATCTGAATTGTACCATCTATATTGACCGTGAAATACAGTGGTCCGGCCGAGGTTGTTAATTAGTTATTTATAAAGAAAAGTAACTGGTCCGTGATACGTTTTCAACAGTGAACTAACTGCAGTTGTAAGACATTCACCTTCATCTGTATGATATTGTGCCGTTCCGTATGCCCAGTGTTTTTGACCTATTAATCTGTTGCTGATACACGACGCAGCGCCAGATTGTTTACCCGGATCAACTCCAGCCATGAAAGCGGAAACATTTCTTTTTCGACGGCGATTTATTCAGTACTACTTGCACACTCACATTAGTAGAAGTTCATTTTTGTAATTAAATGCCGTGCTTATGTGCGCACAGCTGCCCGCCATTTTTTAATCTCTGGGCGCAGGATGATGATGATTCTACTATTATTATTATTATTATTATTATTATTATTATTATATTAAATAAATCAGTTGAGACGGGGTTTTTTTTCTTTCTTTCTTTCTTTCTTTCTTTCTTTCTTTAACAATTTGTATTATATGCACCAGACATGGGACAGATCGAGTGACACAGGTCACTAGTAAGTCAAAAGTCCAAACCCTCAGCTGTGGCCCCCCGAACGCTTCGTGACTGTACACCGATCGTTAATCGATCGTAAATCCCTTCGTAACCAAAGTAATTCGTTTCGTCCACTCCGAATCCGTCGTTATTTTCTACGTCGTTCTTTATCTGAACTTTCGCCTGCTGCCCTGTCACGATCCTGTCAGATCGCCAAAACAGAAGAAACACTGACGGTATTTTTTGGATGACGTATTAATTCTGATGATATAATGAGTCAATATTGCAATATAAAACTATAATGTCGACTATAAATTAGCGCAAAAGTGCCTCGTTGTTGTAGCACTTGTATGCAGTTTAAGTACATAACATGGCTGTGCACTATTCAGAACTGACTTGAGAATGACCTTGAAAATCAAATTCAATTCATAAAACTGCTTGAAAACACGGTGCAGCATCGCCTATAGAATAAATAATTTAACTGACTTTTTGTGCACCATGGTGGGAGAGCACTTCATACAAGTAACCCTATCGCAACCCTAACCATCTGACAATCCAGGGACACTCATTAGAAAAGCTACTGAAGACTCCTCACAAATGGTAACACATAAACAGTTAAATATGCAGAAATAATAAATATATGCACACGGAAAAGGACTTTGAGGGCTGACATAAACCAAATGTATATTGTTGGACTAGGCTAAAACAATTACACAATTTTATCTTGCAGTCATGCAGTTACTCACTGGTACATATATATGGTCAACATCTACCATGTTGGAGCTAAATCTGTGATGTAATTATGTTTTGCTAGATAACATGATATTCATGTGTATTTAAATAGGCATATTTGCCATTGCATTTTACCATTGCTCATCCAGTACCATCTCTTAAAACAGTTCTACTGAAAATGCAGACTTTGGCTTACAGAAAACTGGAAAATGTTTGCAATCATTGTCAGACACACTGTATTGACCAAAGGTTGTTTGATAGAGTTGTCACCTAGCTGTGGTTGAATATTAAACCTTAAGTACTCTTCATAGGCCTATCTGTGAATGCAACACTGAGTAAATCATGTATTTGTAAATTCCATGCGACAGCTCTGTTCCCACGAGTAAGTGCCTGGAATCATCGCAATTACTGTACAACACTTCATAATCAGGCAAAAATTAAATGATCATAATGTTGTAAAATATGTTTAATGTGGTTTTATAAGACAAAATAAATACACGTCTTCCACATCTTTTAAAGCATCAGCGACCAGACAATCAATAAGCTGAACATTTAGGAAAACTATCTATACATGGACATATGAATAAAAGATGGAAGCAGCAATTCTGTAGCAGCACAAGGATTTAAAGCAGCACTTAAGAGTTTAGCCTCCCAACCCTAAACCTTGACTCCTGATAAAACACCTAATCTGAGTTATCAACTAATTAAGGCCTTAAGGAGCTGGATTCATAGTGTTAGGAAATCTTTAAAAAATTCGACGACATCACTGACAGATTGGCCGCAAGAGCACTGTGACATCTAACGTTAAAGTGATTTGCTAATCTGCACATCGGATAAGCTAGTTGGACAAGATTCAATGTTGTCAGTGTGTCTGAATTTTTTTCCCCACGTTTTACAGATTACTGCCCCCCCCCTTTTTTTTGTACTTGTCATTCGCTTAAAAAGTTGTGTAATTAAAGTTTATCAATGGTTACTTCATGCTAGCGTGCTGAACTGCGCTCACCAACACATAAGAACATAAGAACATAAGAAATTTACAAACGAGAGGAGGCCATTCGGCCCATCAAGCTCATTTGGGGAGAACTTAGCTAATAGCTCAGAGTTGTTAAAATCTTATCTAGCTCTGATTTAAAGGAACCCATGGTTTTAGCTTCCACTACAATAGCAGGAAGACTATTCCATACTCTGACTACACGCTGTGTAAAGAAGTGCTTCCTCAAATTTGTTTTAAAATGTTCTCCCGCTAATTTCCACTTATGGCCACGAGTTCTAGTATTTAGACTAATATTGAAATAGTCATTTGGCTGAACGGCATCCAGACCCGTTAGAATCTTATAGACCTGAATCATATCCCCCCTTAGTCTCCTTTGCTCAAGGCTGAACAGATTCAGTTCCGCTAACCTCTCCTCGTAAGACATTCCTCTAAGACCAGGAATCATTCTCGTAGCTCTTCGTTGCACCTTTTCTAAGGCAGCAATGTCCTTCTTGAGGTATGGTGACCAAACCTGCACACAGTATTCTAGGGGGGGTCTTACCAAGGAATTATATAAGTGTAACATCACCTCCCTTGACTTAAATCTCTCGGTTCGTCCATCTCATGGCCGTGTTGTCTGCGTTGTTTATGGGTGCACGCAGCACAGGACTTCTGAGGTTCTGATAAGAACTGTCAACGCAACTGTGGAGCTGGTGGCAATGGAAGGAAAAAAAAAACATTTGCTGAATGTACTATTTGCATGTTACTTTGAGTAATATAGTATAACGTAAATGAATCATGTCATTTTTTAAACTGAATTGCATGTATAGTGTATGTATATACTATAAACTTGAAACAACAAAAAACAATAAACGTATACCATACTCACCAGTACTTCTTTTATGACCCCTACAGGCTAATCGCCTTTACTTATCTAAGATATGTAATGTTTCTTTCTTTCTCCTTGTTGAGCGACTGTTCCCGTCTTCTATCCCTCCCTCCCTAGGCTGCAGCACTCCCAGCCGGACTCCAGAGATGTCCGCTCCTATCGGCCAGAGACGAGCAGTGCCAAGACCCTGATGGACATTGGCACTCGCAGGATCTTCTCTGAGGATCACGACCTCTTCCGGCAGAATGTGCGTCGCTTCTTCCAAGAGGAGGTGGTGCCTCATCACAACCAGTAGGTGCCCTGATGCCGGACAAAGTCAGTGGGTAGCTGGTTCTGGCCCATTGTATGAATTGCCATATCTTACTCTGGTTACCTGTAGACCACATATTTAGTAGCTTGTGCAATAGAAGCCATGTCTAAGGTGGAGTCATTGTGTGATGTATTTTGAATCACGATGCATTTTATTTCTGGCAGTGTTTTGGGCAACTGCGGAGGGCCTGTGTGTATTCAGTGACTTGCATGTGATGGCTTCTGTTGACTGTATTTTTGTCTCAAGGTGGGAGAAGGCGGGCGAGGTGAGCCGGGAGCTGTGGGAGAAGGCCGGGCAGCAGGGCCTGCTAGGAGTGAACATCTCTGAAGAGCAGGGGGGTGTTGGAGGAGATTTGCTGTCCTCTGCTGTCGTTTGGGAAGAACAGTGAGTCGACAGGTCCTATACATTTGTTAGCCGAAGACTTCCTTTAACATTTACACTTTTATTAAACTAAATTGCCCTAATAGTATCTATTTTTAATAACCAGTCAGTGAATAAATTGTTTGTAGCTTTCTAGTGAAATTCTTTTTAGAATTTCACTGATGTGTCTGCATGTTTGCGTATGATCACCTGTCTCCCAGGATGTACTGCAATTGCTCGGGACCCGGCTTCTCCCTGCACTCAGACATCGTGATGCCTTACATCTGCTCGTACGGCTCCAAAGCCCAGGTCCAGCGCTTCATCCCGCAGCTGGCTGCTGGGAAGTGCATCGGTGCCATCGCCATGACAGAGCCCGGAGCCGGCAGGTAAGGCCAAGCGAGGTACTGTAAGGCGACATGAAACATAGTTCTGCGTTCCATTTACCTCGGAGCTGGGAGTGACGTCACACCCGAGTTAACCGCATTCTGGTACCACAAGTCGGAAAGCCACTCCGCAATACCAGGGACCTGTTTCAGGCAACATGATCTTGCTTAGCCAGATAACTTGTCAGATTTAAGGTACCCCAACTGAAATAACCTTTATCTTTGTTCACTTGCATTTAGCCCAGACTACCTTAAATCCGACAAGTTATCCAGCTCAGCAAGAAATCGTCCTTTCTAAAACAGCCCCCAATTCTAGCCAGTTAATTGTTAGCCATTGCTAGCAAAATCAATTGATAACACATTACTTGGTTTTTTGCGTATACAAACAATGTAGCAACACGTCCACAGATAGCGGTTGGACAGTACTGTGTATAAGACCAATTTAATGATACATTAATAAGTGCCTATGAACCGTATTAAACTACAGCTTTCACTGTATTCTGAGGTCGGGGTTGCAGAGGATCCACCAACTTTACGAGTCGGGATTCCGACTTCAGAGGGTGTTCCAGTCCAAATGTCACGCAGCATATAACCCTGCCTTCCTTTGCCTCCTCCCAGGCACCGAATTTGAACAAGCAGCTTCAAATGACTGCCATCTTATACCGTGTGCATGCGGTTTATTATGACTTTGACCTTGACATTTTGAGCCTCTTTGCTTTCCAGCGATCTCCAAGGTGTCAGGACCTTTGCCAAGAAAGATGGCAACGACTGGATCCTCAATGGAAACAAGGTGTGTTTTGGATGGATTGCAGTTCGGTGTCTTGTATAGAAAGGAATATTAAACCAGGCGGAAAATCACCAGGTCTCTCCCCAAACCCCGGCAGGTGTTCATCACAAACGGCTGGTTGAGTGACTTGGTCATCGTGGTGGCTGTAACGAACAGGGAAGCGCCAACTGCAGCCCACGGCATCAGCCTCTTTCTGGTGGAGAATGGAATGAAGGGCTTCCACAAGGGTCGTAAGCTGGAGAAGATCGGGCTCAAGGCACAGGTGACCACAGACGGCTCTGAATTGCTACCACTTCTCTGTTCTTTAGAAATGTACGAGGAAGGATTCGCTTCTCACATGCCTCACATAGTCTCATACCCCATATGTCCCAGCACAACCTCCAGGCCCCCCAGGTCATCAGAAATGGGTTCTCTGATGATCCCTCACTCCAAACAGAAACTAGAAGGTGGCCATGCGTTCTGGGTCACAGCCCCCGGCTTGTGGAACAGTCTCCCCCAAGCCATCAGATCTGCACCCTCTGTTCATGTTAAATCTCATCTTAAAAACTAGAGTATAAACGGGTTTTAAGTCATATTAACATTCTGAGGTATCCCCCTCTGTCAATACTCATAACATCTGTCTGTGTTTATGTGATGATTTTATCTTCTCTTATACCCCTTTATTAGTTTTTTTTTTTTTTTTTTTTCTTTCTGTCCTTTCCTTTTGGTGATCCTGCACAACACTTTGGTCAGACATATGTTTTATAAATAAATTTGACTTTGACTTTTGACTTTGGCTTGACCCCGAGCAGAGTCGTGACTTTCTCCGTGCCCCCAGGACACGGCTGAGCTGTTTTTCGAAGATGTCCGTCTCCCGACAGATGCTCTTCTGGGCCAAGTCAACAAGGGCTTCTACTACCTGATGAAGGAACTTCCCCAGGTAAGACCGTCCAGCTGGCCATGTATCTTCTGGGAAAACAGGAGAAAAGGTGTCGAGATTTTCCAAGGAAGGTTCTCATTCTGATTTCAGTCGATGAGCGATCCCTTAACCTGTTAGGATTATTTTGGGGCTGTGAAGACTGAACACTTCTCAGATTGGTAAAAAGTTTACTCCCCATCAGGAACGCTTGCTAATCGCTGATATGGCCATCGCCAGCTGCGAGTTCATGTTTGAGGAGACCAGAAAATACGTGACGGAGAGGAAGGCTTTTGGCAAGACCATCTCTCACCTGCAGGTGGGTGTCAGAGGGCTGCTTTACGGACGGGTGTACCTTGTGGTTTCCGGTTTGTTGGGCGGTAAAACCCTGCGTCTATCGCCCCCCCTCCGTGCAGACAGTGCAGCACAAGCTGGCTGAGCTGAAGACTGAGATTTGCGTAGGGCGGGCCTTCCTGGACAGCTGTCTGCAACTGCATACAGAGAAGAAACTGGATTCTCCCACCGCCTCCATGGCCAAGTACTGGTGAGCAGACAAAGGACTAAGACACAGACACACACACACACACATACACACACCTCTGCCTATGGCTGACTGCAGTCACGTTAGTGCTCTCAGATTCTTGCTCTTGGTTTAATCTCTTCAAATGTCACTGAGAACCTTCTCTCCAAAAAGGGCCACTGACCTCCAGAACAAAGTGGCTACACAGTGCCTGCAGCTTCACGGAGGGTGGGGCTATATGTGGGAATTCCCCATCGCCAAGTAAGTGACCGCCCACCCATTAGTGTCAATAAGCTTCTACGGGGAGGGAGGGTCACATCTGATAGTAATACAACCCTTATGTTGACCTACAGCATGGCTGCTCATTCCCGCTTCTATAAACCAAAAGTCTTGGTCCTCTACTGACCTGCTTTCTCCCTCAGGGCCTTCGTAGATTCGCGCGTCCAACCCATCTACGGTGGCACCAATGAGATCATGAAGGAGCTGATTGCCCGTACCATCGTGGGCAACAACTGAGCCTATGAGAAGCTGATTTGAGCAGACGGACATTCTGTGTGCCTTACTCTCTTTGCATTGACCCCTCTGAAGTTGATAGACAGCCGACTACTGCTTTTCTATTTGGGAAGATGTTTAACGATAATTGCTGACGGATACCATCTGTTCCATCTACGTAACCTCGTAACCATGTGAAACTGTGCGGCAGAACATAACATTAAATATTTGAACTAAAATCGTGCCTGTAAAAGTAATTAATGATGGTTTACTGGTTTATTCCTGTGCCTATATTAGTGCTTAAAATGCACCTTTTCTACATCCAGTCATGGGATGTTAACTGTTTTGGGAAGATATAAAGCTTCTATCCGTCTTCCATCCCGAAAAGGTGGAATAGGGGTGTTGCTCAGCCTGGAGCGATCCTAGGATGCACCGGGCAGAAGTGGGGGACACCCAGGGTAGCAGACCGCATGATTCATTACAGGTTGAACATACTCAAACTTTATTTGATGTAAAATTACGTAAGATCCTCATACATTTCATTTCTAAATGAAAGTTGTAACTGTTGAATAAAAAGTCTTTGTTTTGCGTATAACTGTATTTTACTTAAGGAAAAACAATTTTGTTACAACTGAATGCATTTAAAGTCGGTGCCAATTAAAATAACGCGCTATACGGTCGAAACAAACTGAACTGCGGAGATTTTCCGAGATTATTAAGACATCCTACTTTTTATCAGTCAGTTTGGTAATGTATCTTGTCGTGCTACCTTGATTATATTTAGATTTATAAACAGGTCATATAATGTCATTCTATCAATAATAATAATATGCGTCACTGCCGTTACCTTCGTAACCTCACGAAAGACACAAGAATTTTATGCTTTTGTTTGGTATCAGTTTAACCAAGGACCTGATCAACACATGAAGGACCTGGCGTATGAAATGTGATCTTTGATAACGGACAGGATTGTAAACTGTGGATACTTTGTATAGTAAACCAGAGTAATGTGGATGTCCAACATATATGATTAACTATCTAAAGGGCATAGATAAATGGGAAAATTTTAACGAGAACTACTTTTGTTCGTTGTTATTGCTAAAGCAGTGAAGTTTATGTACAGTAATGTTCATTGCTTGCCGCCTGACGTTCTCTCTTCATTAACACTGGCGAGTGAAACATGAATAAACAATCTATCCAATTATCTACTTTTAAACTACTACACATTTAAAGAAGAGATAAAAGAAGTGAATAACTTATAAAGGTTTTAATTGGTACTCCAGCAAAAATAGAGCTAGACTGAAAAGATTGGGACTAAGAAGGGGGCCCGCCGTCTCGGGGCAGGACTGGGGAGTTTATGGAGGGGTTGCGTGTCATGGGGGCCCGGTTGAAGGAATTTCAGACCGTCTACGATGATCTAATTCAATTGGTTTTTAGTAGGGAGAATTGTGTGTGTGACACCATTGACCGGTCAGTAGGAGGCGCTATACATCAGATTTCCCCACATGGGGACCCTGGATGTGAATGCGTGCAGTGCCAACTGGGCTTGCTGGAGGCACTGTGTCTCCTTTTATTGTTCGAGGAGCAAAGTCGGCGTGAATCTGCCGCTCGTTTCACTATAACCCTGCGATCAGTCGCTCCGACATGGCGATCGTGGAGAAGCGGCGTTACGGAGCAGCCAGCATCTGAGTTCCCTTTAAAAATCCAGAGGCGATCGCTATTTTGGGAAATAGGGAATTATTGTACCTTAATCCTTCGGTTGTTTACGCGTGGAAGGTCTTAAAGAAAAGGTGAGTGCAATTATGCAACGTAATTTGGTCCATACAGATCCATGTGTTGCAAGCTAACTTGTTTGAAGGGTAGATTAGTGTTACGTCGCCGGTTTCTACCAAGGATTTTGTTTTATCTTCAACCTTGCCTGTTATCGATGCGTGCATTTCACGGCCATAGTTTGTGAAGTTTACACGATTTGCACGTCTTGTTGGATAATCTGTTGTGCGCGCAAAACGTTTTGTTTCTGGGCATTAAGATGATGTTTTGCTTTTTCTATTTTATCTGATAATATATCCAGTTCTGAAGCACCGATTGCAGAATAAGACCAAGTAAACACGACGAGTGGCTAGTGTGATTTTTTCCCCCCCGTATCTCAAGGACGGGTGATAAAATAACCCAAATGCGCTTATGTGGGCTATTGTGGTTGGCTGTATTATACACCTTATTGTCGGAGCAAACGCATGCAAGACGGGACTGGTGGTGGTGGACCGCCTGGAGTCGTGTTTCCGAGTGATGTGATTATTTTACAGAAATATTTAAGAAAATAGTCCGTTTGAATCGCCCATTTATTGGAATGATCAGTTCACGGGTGAGCACATCCCGCTCCACGTCATTCATGTTAGCTGATACTGTCAGGCAGTATATAGAACGAGTAATATACCGGGATCCTGTTATTTATTATATTATTGTAATCCAGGGAACATGCATTTTCATTTCTCATTTTTCATAAACACGACGTGCTTGAAATCAAAGACATCCCTAGCTCTACGTGCTTCGGTTACTACCCCGATAGTCCGTTTTATTTATGTGATATCTAATCTTCACAATGTAGTGTCTATACAGCCAATATACACTATTGCATCAACCTGAAGGATCACTTTGCTAAGATACATACTCTGGGAAGCCGCTGCTTATGATTATCTGAGTATATGGAGGCTTCATACATTTCCATAATAAATGAATAATTGCTGTAGAGTGTCTGTCTGTTAGTATGCTTACGGTATATCTCAAATGCAGCTGTGAGACCCATTTTAAAGCTTTTTATTCATATGAACACGCCTAGTTGGAAGGGAGAGGTCTTTGATCCCTTTTCTCCTTCATCCCAAACAAATGCGTTAAAAAATGCCTGTAATTCTTAATGGGAAGTGGTTTTTGGTGGATTCGTTTTAGCTAATGTAATAGTCTGGGGATTATGTTGTGTACACGTAAGAACATTTGAGAGTATTTTCAAATGCTTTTGAAATCAAAATGTGACAATGTTCATGTTCCTGATTTCGCTCGTACACAGCTGAAATGCAGGATAAAATCGGTACTATACAGGGGATTAGACCGCATGACTCACTGTAGAGAGGTTCAGCCTGAGGTAGCTGTTATGCTTTTTACCCGTTTGTTGCAAATTGTCAGTACTATCTCTCAACATCTTGCCTCTTAATCAGGTCAGACCAAAGTGCAGCAGGGACTGGCATTAACAGTGGGCTCCGATATTGGGGCTATAATGAAGCTTTTGTTTATATGAATAAGGTTGATAAAAGTAACACAAAATCATTCTTACTTTGCTTTAAAAAATCACGTGATTTAATCTCCTTCCTTTGCATTGTACTGTTTTTTTATGGTTGCAGCCTCATTTTTCATCCCCTCTGTGCTTACGGATATTTGCATGAATGGTTGCTGTGTACATTTGCAAATAAGGCCACAGGATTAGAATGAGCTCTTTTGTAGGCCTACAGGTCTGCATGTTCCTACACTCCTGAACTGACACTTGAAGCAAGTCAGGCTTTACCAGAGCAAAACATCAGCAACTTTAGCTAAGCCTAAGAAAAAGATGAGAAGCCCGTCATTTACTGAATGCCTTTTGTGAAATTCAGTGAAATAAAAGCATTTAAGTAACACTTAGATCAGCTTTTATAGCAATAAAACCCTTTCTAATATTCACATCTTTTGAAAAATATCTGCTGTAGTGTGCACATACATATGTAATCGTTTGATTATGTCTGGCAGCTGAGGCTTCTGGGACAGGTTCACTATGATGCAAGACACTGAATCAAAAAAGCACAGTTGAGGTTTAGTTGTTATTTAAACTGCAACTTGACTCAGCTTAGATGTAAGCTTAATGGTTTCCCCCTGAAAAAACACTGGGTTTCAGCACTAAAAATAGAACTTTGCATTTGGGAAGGGGAGGGGGGGATTGGTCTCTTGGGGCCGTGAGACATTTTTCAGGAGAGACGGAATAAGTTTGAGATCCTTCGGAAGGTATTCCCTTTGAGATGTTTTGTTTGTGCTGCTGAGGTTGACAGGTGTTGCAACAGGTCCTGACACGTGACCCTCTTCTGGAGGAGGGGGTCTTGGAATGGACTGTTAACACAGAACTGGCTGTAATGCAGGCCAGCTGTGTGTATTCCCCACACAAGTACGGGCTCGCACTGCAGCTAAACACCCTCTCCGACTTCACCAGCCTCTCCGACGGGCAGCCCCGTGGGCCTTTCCGCTCTGAATCTGAAGGTGTCCTTCGCGCAAGGCCTCACGTGGCCCCGTGCCGGACGGGAAACAATGGAGGCGTCACATTGTTTTGCGTCCGCCCCTGAAACAAAAGCCGGGTTAGTACACGAGAACACGCTGTCGCTCTTTAACGAGCACCGGCCCTTCCCTAAGCTGCAGAGGCTCGCAGGCTGACCAATCCCGGAGCTTTATGGCAGAAGATGAGCACATTCGGCCCAAAATAATCTCCGCCTGTGGACCAGGGGCTGCCCACATCCTCTGATGATGGGATCTGTAAGGCGTTTGTATGCGGTGGCCAAGCAAGCGCAGGGGGTCCCATCGGAATGTCAAGAGAAGCTGAGAAGCGGTAGGTGAGGACAGAGACTCATGGGGGAAATTTCAGTCACGTGAATGATTTTTTTTTTATTTAACAGACCTATTAAATACAAAACAATTCAGATACAGCAGCAATTGTTTATAGTTCGAGCAATATGCAAACGCTGATCTGCAAGGCTGTGAATATATGTTGGAGAAAGGATGATTCACTACAGTTCACTTTTTGTTATGTCACAAGATAATAGTACATGTTGCAAAAAATATGTATTGGTCCAGTGTGGCACCGCAAGGGTCGCGTTGTTATGGGGTTCATCTGTACCTATGCTGGCCTTCTCTTGACCTTCATGCTCAGGGTTTCTCTTGGCGTCTCGTTGCGTGAAGGCCAAACTCGTCGCCATATAAACACAGCTGTGTCGTCCATTTACAGTCAGGCAAACTGCTAGTTAGCGCCAAGAATGTTAACGTGGGCGAACATTTCAAAAATTCCCACGAAGGCAAACCATCAGGCTTCTGTCGAAAAATTCTGGGAAAAATACTGACCTCGGGGAAAAGACGGATTTTATGACCTATAAACAGTGGCCTGATTACTATCTACAAGACTCAGGTAGTCTAACGTCTATGCTAAGCAATAACTATGCCTCCAGGCTCTTTTTAGAAGATGAGCAGAAAACATCTGATGGTTTAACTCCTGAACACGTGCCAGAAAGTGGCAGAAGTCCAGGAAAGTGGCATTTTGTACCATTTCTGCATTATTTTTATGGGCCAGTAGATGGCATGATGGTTAGGAACTTAAAACCCAGAACCTGAGTCCTACAACCAACGAGTTGCAGTGTCCACAGGCGGGGTGCACAACCTGAACTGCTCCACTGAAAAATGTATGTTACAGCGTCTGCTGAGCAGTTAAAGAAAATGTTTAAGAAACAATCTTAAAGACCTCTAATCAGAAGCTGTGAAATTGCATAGGGAGGGTAGGCCTTGGTACCATCCAGAACCTGTTCTGCCTGTCCATTTAGCAAGATCATTGTGTCAAGATCTCGCTAAGGTGAGAAGAATAGCCCTTTCATTTTGGGGGTGCTGCTGGGGGGGGGGGGGTCAGGCTGGGGTCTCTGAGTTTATCTGTTGGTGAAGCACAGGCTGTATGTCAGCATCTGGATTTTGATGTCACTCCTCTTTAGATACCTACCATTTGTCTTTAGGCAGGCAGGAAAGGGAAGAGACAATCATAACAAATGCAAAAATTTGCCATTTCATAAACTTGTGGGTGCGCTGAGACTGTTCCTGATTTTTCTTTATTACGGAGTGGTGCTTCCCCTTTGCAATTGTCTGTGAGAAGTTCAGAGATTACACACTCCAGCTTCTTCAGCTTTCATTTCAAACCCACGCCAGACTGGGCCTGCCTCAGTCTCTTTTATTTGGAGGGCATTTGGCAGGGTTCTGATTTGCATATTTTGCCCTTACGCCAATGTGTTAGCTTTTTATGTTAAACACGCAAAGAAGGTTTACTTGACGGGCTGACCTGCAGACAGTGAATGAATGTGTTTCCGTTTGACGCTCCGTCAGCCCAGCAGGAGAGCTGGCCTCGGTCACCTGGAGGTCACCAGTCCATCTGTGTCATGTGACTGATCTGTTTGCGTCCGCTGAGTGAAATGACTGGGTCCTGCTCCATCTCCCCCGCCCTCGAGCGACCCCCCCCCCCCCCCCGGCTGTATCCTCCTTCAAGGCTTCTTGCATCACTGTACAAAGCCTGCAGTGTGTCAAGTGAAAATTGGGGTGGCTGACATCACAATTAAAAGAAGAGCGTGCTGGTGGTCTTTGTCCCCCCGCCCCTCCCCCCAAACTGATGCTGAGGTCATGTGTTAGGGAATGCCTTTAAGCTACAATCCTGATTTTTAAATGAAACAGGGCTGGTTCTGTCTGTATTTTGAGAATTCCCCCTTGTCTTTGAAGTACTCTTATGTTGCACAATTTCTCCCATGTCTCGCTGCATGCCGTGAAATGCTGTAATTGTCTGGTGAGCCGAGACTGTTCCAATTAGGCGTCATTTTGAAAAACTTGGGGAAACTTTGCTTAACAGCATGGTTCTTGTGGCACGAAATATGTACATACACGTTTTTTGTTTATCGCAGTAAGGAATGTTATACCTTCTCCTGTCCTGCTTCGGGTTGCTGTGCTGATTGAGGTCTCTGCTCAGCATATGTGACAGATCAGCGGGGGAGCTTGTTGTAATTTTCTCTGTGCTGTTACCGAGTGGTAAACAAATTCTGTACTTTCATTTAAGAAGGTTGCTGGGTTTTTTTAACATCTTGAAGTAAAACAGGGTTTTTTCCCCAGTGTGTGTATAATTTGTCAATGTTAGTGTGTGAGACTGGCATCTTAATATGTGTGAAATAATACTCAAATGAAATGTGTCATGATTTCAGTGGGTCTGGAATGAACAAGTGGTTTTAAGAACTGAATTTACTCACTCCTTTTCACCTGGCTGCCTTTGGTCTGCTGTAAAAACGTGTTCCTCCATGCAGTGTAGCTGGCCAGCTCCTAGAGAGACATCGCACATACAGACAGTACTATGCACCTTCGTCTCCTCTGGTGCCCTCGGGGGACAGGAGTACTGAGAACATCGGGGGGTTGGAAGTCAGCAGCATGTCATTGGATAAGAAGCTTTGAGGCTGTTGGGCAAACCTGGAGGTCATTCATCTACATTCATCTGCATTTCCAGCCTGTGCTCATGTCACCCTGGTGCCTGAAGGGATGTGAAGGACAGGCCTGAACCAGCATGAAGTCCTGAGATCAAAGGCGGGGTTGACCCCCGCTGGGTTTTGACACTCTTCGCTCTACGGTCCCAAACCCATCTCTGTAGTCTGGACCTTGTGTACTAGGTTGCTTTTTCACATAGAGGGTTCTTTTGAAACACCCTTCTGCTGCCTTGGTTATTCTTCAGTATAGATGTCAGCTGTCTGTTACAGACAGTCGCAGGCTCTTAATCTCAAAGTCTCTCTTGGTTCCAGTTGGGGAAAGAATATTGGATGCTGCCAAGAAAAGTCTCTTCCTCTTGCTATTTGTCCTATATTGTTAGCACATCTCAAGCTTTCTGCCCTCTTTGTTGATGAGGACTTTCCACACATGGACGCATGAACAGGATGGGGGGCATTAGGAAAACTGGTGGTTCTTATGTATCGATAGATATATACTTGATTTTTTTTTATTTATTTTTTTTATAAAAACTGGTTTCTCCTGTGTTCCTGTGGATTCAAAAAGACTCAAGTAAGGCAGGTCTGCTTTGTGTTTCATTATTGAAAATAGACTGGTCATTATGTATATCACAATCTCTCCAATATGGCTATCGCTCTCACCAGATGCTGAGTTTTAATGAAATTCCTGCCGGGAGATCCCGCTGCCTGTTCCCGCCCTTTAATTCTGGTGATGGATTGCGGTCCCATCACAGTACCTCCCACTTGTGTCAGACTTGGTCCCTTGAGATCAAGATCCTTAAATTTCCATGGTAACCTGCTCGTCTATGCACTAAACCGGTTGATGATGCTAGCACCGCGAACTCGGGTGAGCGATCCGTCTTTGAATGGCTGTGATACGTCAGTCGTCAATCGCAGATAAAGAGTGAGGGGGAGCTGGCAATGGGATGTGGTGCTTTGACAGGGAAAAGACGACGAAGGAGGGATTTGGCCGTGTGTGTGCGTGTGACATTACCCTCTGCTGCCTCCCGTCCTCTAGGCAGGAGCGAGTCTGACCTGGGGACCATGGTGGAGCCAGAACAGAAGCCAACAGCGGGCCAGCGCCTCGGTGCTCCGGAGAGCCTTGGGATCAGTACCCTGGAGCCTGGCCACAAACCGCCTACCATGCCTCCAGGACGTCAGATCTCCATCAGGGTCCGCATGCTGGATGACACTGAGGAGGTGTTTGATGTTTCGGTGAGTCCTAACTTAGCACCTTAGTGCTCCGCCCTGCAAGCCCAGATTTAAGGGGTTTTGGGCTGCGTGTTGTTGGATGGTTTGGTAACTTAATCACGATGAAATTATGAAATGCTGTAGTGCTCAGGTTATTGTGTTCGATTGTGTTAGAATGCAAATGCCACGGCTCAGAGTTTTACCATTGGCTGCTTTGGAGCAGGTTTTGGTAGTTTGCTCTCTAGCAGCACAGTTTCTGACATGGATGAGCTGGATGGGGATATTTTTGGCGATTTTCTGTCGCAAAGAATGTGACCTGTATCTGAGCCACAGCTGAGCCGTAACCATGCTGACCATGGCGATGCTCACTAGCAGGGCCCAAAGGAGGCCAAACCCAACTGGTTGCATCACCACCATCTGATTGGTCAAAACGCATGGTTCTGCACGTGGATTATCTGAAGGAAAAAGCGTATATTCTATATATGATTTATTATTAGTATATATTGATGCATTCCTGATAACTCAAAACAGAGGAAAAAAAGAGGAAGCAAAAACGTGGACTGTCCGGGGTTCCCCAAGGACTGGGTTGGGGAACACTGTCCTAGATCAAGGAACTTCCAGGAGTGAACACACCAAGTGATCCACCCGCATCTTCACTTTGTCCTAAGGCTTGCTACATATTTAAATTCCATTTAGTTTAATTGACACTTGATACCACTGATGACTGTCCAAAACTATCCAAAGCTCGTTGAGTATAGATCATTACAGCAGAGTGAAATTCAGTAACTGCCTTAAGGATAATTTAGAAGTACTCAGTCTGGAATGTCCTCATAGCAGCTCTGCCAACTGCCCCAAATGTTTTCAGAAGCAAGATTTAAATCCATGCCTCCATTCAGAGAACAGGATGCTCATTAGCGCTGGAGGCTGTTAATCGTCAGCCTGGAACCCGGCCCACTAGGTTCTCCTAATGAAATGTACTTTCCGACAGGATTGTGTGTAGCTGCATTTGTGTGAACATGGTTACCATGACATCAGCGATGCTGGCCAGAGGATTGTGGGATTGTGCCGTGCGAGGTGGAGATGCACTGCAGGAATTATTTTTATTACTACTAACTTCCTTATGTGTTACGATTAATAAACATGCTGACAAACTCAGTACTCGGTACTGGCAGCTGTCCCTTATATGTTTAAAATTAAATTTGAATACTGTTTGTGTTCATCCTACAGGCGAAGCAAAATGAAAACTGCCCATTAAGGCTATTAAGCCTTTTCGATTAACTTACCTCGCTGGAGGCCTGCTCTGCCGTGAGACGTCCCAGTTAATCACATTAACCACGCACTGGCAATTCTGCTCCTGTTTGTAACACCGCAGTTTTACCCGCCATTTTTTTTTGTGTCTAAATGGAGCCAAAGAGCCAAATGTTTTCTTGATAGTGTTAGCTAAACCACTTGGGTAAGGGAGTGTATTTTTGCTACCGTGTGAATGCTCCCCAGCAAACAGGAAGTAGATGGGAATACAGGCCGCAACAGAAGGATGATTCCATGCAATGTTGTGACCTCAAATGGCCTAAAGTTCTGATTGCGTGATACATAATTGCAGAACTATAAGTACGAATGGTGTGTCAGCAATGAATATTAATGGCCATGTGACCAGGACACCAAAAGCATCTGTTCCCCTAATGGTTATTAAAAGGTTTTTTTTGTGCAGCGTGACCAATATGCTTGCATAATGTATGATCGCTTGCATCTGCTTGCTAGCGCAGGTGCCAACCCCACAAACACAGAGAAAAGTGGGGATTCGAACCCGCAGCCCTGTAAGAGTGAGACCACTGCAGCCACCCCCTGAGCCAGTGTGCTGCCTCTGATCCTTGGTACTCTGTGTGATTTTTCACGGTAAAGATAATTTATGGGAAGCTGTTGTCCGACGGCTCCTCCCACCAAGGTCATGTGGTCCACAGTCGCCCTTTGAAGGCCACTGAGAATTTAGCTTTTTGGCATTAGGGTGTAGATATGGCTGGTTCGGTCTGGCAGTCGCTGGTGTCTAGCTACACCCCTGATTCACTTCTGAGGATTCAAGGGATTTTCTCATGATGGCGTGTCTCCTATCAACTGTCTGGGCGCATTAGAATCATCGCAGAGGGGGGTGATCCTCATTGGTTGTCGGACTTATTTTAGAACCGTGTCCCAGACCCTCCTGTTTTTATGAAAGAAAGATAAAGTTTGGGATAAAATGTACAATTATTTTTTATCGGACAATATACAGGACAGATAATCCAATTCAGCTCAGAGCTTGGCTGGGGAGGAATTTTCCATCTACTGTGTGCTGTGTTTCTGGAGATGTCCACTGACTCATGCCAGCCTGTGTTTGTAATTCCAGTCTGCTATGATACCGTGATGAAAAGGCTCTAAACACAGTTGTCCATCTGGCAAGAATTGGAGGTGGAGGGTAGGGGGGGGTGGTGGTGTTTTTTAAAAAATAAACACTCATCTCCTGTGGAAAAGTAAAGAAACCACTCATCTGTAAGCAAAGCATCATTTTTAGTGTCCAGCGTTTTTTTTTCATTTCACGGTGATGACACACAAGGAGTGAACATCCATGGAATATCTGAAGTATTCCCAACAGTAGCTGAAAGTGAAGATCATTTGTGGCATGAAGGTTTTTGGGATCCTCTTCCTCCTCAGTGTTCATTTCTAAGCCTTGTGGAATTAGCCTCCTCCACCTAACATTGAGTCACACATTTTAATCGTGTGTAACAGATAAGATCGTTCCCAATAAGACCCCCCCCCAACCAGAGTGCTATGATCGGGATATCTTGTGAAGGAGGGAGTAGGAGAAGCATGGACATCATTAAAAAGGTTTTGTAGCTGCTGCCGATGACATGTTTGAAGTGCCTGTGTACTTTAGCAGGCAGAAGCTAAGCTTTTACTTTACAGAAACCATGAGGTGGTCCTGGAAGAAATGAGCACTTTGCTCCGTTGTGAAAACAATGTTTTAGTGCAGTTTTCTGTTTCTTGGCCTGGAGATTCTGTTGATTGCAGTTATTAATGTTTTGTTCGGGACTAAATGAAGATGAAAAATCTATCCCAGTGATGTTTCTGCCAGAATGACAAGGCATTCTCTCTCATAAAGGAAAAGTAAATCACAAGGCTTTTTTTCCTGGTTGTTGTTTTAAAGACGCTCCTGTAGAAAAACGTTAATTAAACACAACAAATGAGATCAATAGCTGTTTTTGCAGTTTCATAATCCATCTCAGGTCTCTAAAATCCACTGAAATTTAAATGTGAACTCCCCATGTGAATGGCTAACGTGAATCAGCTTGAAGATTAAAGTTCTGCTTATTTTGATCAGTCTTTGCAGAATGTTCAGAGTAGCAGTCAGACTTGCTGCTGAAAATATGAAACATGGATCATTTCCATAAAAAATGCCTATTTAAGTGCCATGACAATCTTATTTTTTTGCGTGAATGATTGTAGGCCATGGCTTGTGTTTTAAGTCTGTAGAACTGAACTATTGTCTCAACATGTAAACATTAGTCTCTAGATAAGATACCAGACTCTAGTCCCAGAGGATCAGATAACCTGTTTGCACACCCCCGTCTGTCTGGATGTGAACTCCCTTCGGATGACGTATCTGCAGGAGGTGCCATAGGGGGACCATCCTGTGTACTCGTGTTGCGTTTCAGTGTTTTTGGCCGCTTAACAGTGTGCCGTTCTGCACGGCTCATACCTGATGGAGGTTAGCAGGGACGTTTGATCCCACGTTTGCACTTTGAAGCTTGACATGCGATATGGGGGATTCAGACTGACTCCATCGTGGCAGTCCCTCTTCTTCTAGCGGAACACACTGAATCACATCCATTCATATGCGCTTCTCTTGACAGGAAATTCCACACATAATGCTTCCGTAGATAAGTCTAAAACATAACCCCTCCTTGTGTAGCGCAGTTCCTTGTGTGAAATACTATTTTGAATACTGTTCTGATTTTTGCCCACGATTTACATTCATTTGGAAAGCCAATTCTGATTAGAAATAAAATCGTGTTTGTATAGTTTGATTTTCATTGGTCTGATTTTGGAACAAAGAACTGATTTCCACAAATTTATCTTCACAGTGGCTTTACTTACACTACAGTCCAAATTGTATTGGCTGTTTTTCACGATGCCTGAGTGTTTTTTTTTATTGTTTTTTTTGACTGATTCAGAGACCAGTTTGCAGTTGATATGAACTGGGAAGAATGAGTGGGAGGAACCAGATGAAGACACCAACTGCTTTTTATTTGTTTGCCTTCCCTGTGTCTCGTTCGCTTGGTCTTTGGGATCGTCTGCTTGGACGGAAAGACACAGACAAACGGCTACAAACAAAAGCTGGTGGATTTTGCTAGTTTCCAGAAATACTATTTTTTAGTGAGTGTTGGCTTGCTAGCTGCTGCTGGCCCGTGCGGGAACGCCCCGGTGTGGCGAGCGAGGAGAGCGAGCCACGGACGGGGAAGATGGCAGCTTCTCTTGGAATAACCTGTAGCCCACATAAGCGGCATGTGGAGGGCCTGACCTGTGGTGACCTGGACTTGGTTTCAGGCCAGATTCTGGAGACTTTGCTCTCCTCTTTGGGGGCAAGGGGGGTGGGGGGGTAACCTCTCAGTTCTCTCTTCAATTTTGCCCCCAACCCCTGGAAGAACTCCAGTCCATATGCGAAATGAGTGGCTTTGTTGTTTCCGTAAGACAATGTGTACATGTACACACATGGTCTTTAACATGTTTACTGGGATTTAACCAGCATGGGGGGTGGGGGGGGGCTTCTTCTGTGAGCCGGCTGTTAACCCCTGACCGGCGGGACCCCCTTCTTTCCTAAGGGCTCTGTAATTACAGGAATCCTTGTTGCCGTTTTCGGCTGCTGTAATTGCTGCTGGAAATGCAAAGTATGCAAGTGTGGCTTCATGTATCGTGCTGCTCCAGTCGGGGCAGATGCTTGATGGTGTCAGAGACACATCTTATTTTGACATTGTGAGGACCTTTTTATTAAAAAA